GTGGTTTTCAGATAGCTTGGAAGAGGCTATTCTCGTACCGGATTGGCTGAGTCGTGAATTCGAGTATCGTATAGGGACATCGTAGGGGCAGGACCCACAAGAGTGGAGGTACGGTTCGTCTACATGTGATCTATATTGTCTCGGGTCTTCATCATTTTTTCTCGTAGAAGAAAGATTAGAAAAATAATGCCAGAATTCTTGAGCCTATAACAAAATGTAGCGTTCAGAAGGAAAGCGTTGTTTGTGGAAGGCGTTTGTTGAATTCGAAAGAAAGCAGGGGACGGGTGCTGAGCGTCCCCTGCGTGCAATGTCTTCAGTCTTCTTGTGCACCNGCCTGACCCCATCAGTGCCGACCCAACTACACCACCACGCGCATGCCTCGCGGCGGATATGCGCAGCAGCAAGAAGGTTTCGGTCATCCCTTGAGGGTGAGTCTAGCCCTGCTCGCCAGAAAGACCCCCCCCTTCACTACAACCCATGTCTAAGCAACAGCTTGCCGAGGAGCGAGGGGAAGAAGGGAGAAGTAGTTGCGACATATTATATATGGCACTCTCATGAGAAGGGGGCATGTCTGCGTTGCGTCTTTCATCGCAGGCAGCGGCCTAACCCATCTTTCGTTGCTGTCTGCTGCCCTCAGTCCTCTGGTTGGCAGTTGGCAGTTGGCAGGAATCAGATCAAATCAGCGGAATAAGCGAGCGTGGCGATAATTTTTCTCAGCGGGACTGTCGGCAGGACTGTTGAAAATGTTTTTTTTAATTTGCTAAGTATAACACGACGAATCGATCTCTAAGAAAAGAGTCCAAGACAGGTTAGCAATCAATTCACCACCTGATCACCTGGTCAGATCAAGCTGATCACCTGCTTACCTGATGACCTGCTGCCTGGCACAGCAGCAAATGATCCACACCCACACGGGACGGCCGGGGGGCAATGCGAGGACAGTTGCCGCCACCTCGACAAGACGAAATCCTGCGAACGAGTCTCGAAGGCGAAACACGTACGTACCAGCAGCCGACGTCATGTACTTGCGAGCAGCCCGATTTTCAATGTAGGAAGACAAGCGGAACGCGTCATTGACAACAACCAGCGGTCCGCAGTACTGCTGTAGCGCTGCAACCTCCAAACCAGAACCACAGCGGCTGCAGCAGTGCACAGCAGAGCACCACTCTCGCGAAGCTTATCTCCTCGTCAGCGAGGTTCCTTGTCAACACGATGACCACGGAAGGTGAGCAACGCGACCCCACCCTGTCGGTACCCGAGAGATGTAGATACGAAGTCCGTTTCTTCCGTTCGTCGATGCTCGAACACGACACCGCAGTGTTCACACCGGTAGCCCCGGTGGTCTAGTTGGCATCCCCGAAACCTTTTAGAGGTCAGGTCATGGGTTTGAATCCCGGCGTAAGCGAACTTTTCTTGCAAATTGAGTTTTTCTCTCGCTTCCGCTCCTGGCCTAGTGGATAGCGCTAGTTCGTGTGCCCACAGAGGGAAGAGAGTGCTGAACTCTTCTCGCATTAAAATCGAAGGCAAAGTACCGCAGGAGGGGAGGGTAGAGAGGGGCTCTTCTGTGTGACCATTGTTGTTGTTGTTGTTGTTGTTGTTGTTGTTGTTGTTGTTGTTGTTGTTGTTGTTGTTGTTGTTGTTTTTCTTCACATAAAACTCGTGTCAGTTTCTAATCCCAAAATCTAGCAAAGACTCGGTCCGTGGTCACAAAAATGCTAGAGCCATCACAAGATCAAAATAACACGCACACTATTATCAAGAAAAGGGTACGCAAGCCCGAGGAGGTACACCTACAATCCCTGCAGCACGTTTGCGTGCTCACAACTGAACTACACGCCCACACACTACAATTCGACTACAGCAGCAGCATCCCCCTTGTCCCGCATTCAACCAAAATGAATACAGCGCACTGCTGTCTGAAGTGCTGTCTGTACAATAATAACACCATGGTGCATGGGTTGGAGTAAACGGCACCAGTGCTGTGAGCGCTGATTTGAAGTGAAGACAAAAAACAAGCTGTAGAACAAGACCAGGGCAAAAACCAGAACTACAGAAACGCTACACGTTGTCGTCGAAGTTGCGGAAGATAGCAGATAGACTAGGCTTTTCAGTACTTGCAGATATCCACTCTGCCGAATATTCGGCTCACTGCCTCCGGACAAACACGTCTCACTACTACCGCCGTACAACAACAATCACCGCCCGCATGTACGCACGTATGCCGAGTGATACATGAGATCGCGGCAGTAACTCCAAGGTGCATTTTGAAGGGGACGAATCCCTTCGGGCTGTCAGAAAAATGTTAAGAAGTAATAAATCGCTAATGACCACATACAAAAATTCAAGAGTCGGATCTGCGTATCAATATCAACGGATCTGCGACACATGGCGGTGCAACAGTACGGAAGGTTCGCGCCGTTTACATTCCTATGGCGTGGCCACACCATGTGCCGCTCATGAAGCACGAACAAACCAAACGCGGACACGGCCCTTGTCGTGAGAACACAGGGGGACCCTGTGTATTGTACTCAAACGACATTTGTGTTTGAGTTCTTGATGGTTTTCTAGATCGAACCACATCGGGATCGACTTTGGTCTGCGTATTTGAGGCTCGACAACACGCGGGAGCATGGTGCATAGTTTTACATCAGTAGTTTCTGTTTGTGATTATGGCGGGAAAAATAAGAATACAAAAACGGTTATGCGGACGATGGACTAGGCTACTTGTACGTATGTTTCATTCATGCATGATACGATGCTCATGGCAAATACGAGTTTTGGTGATGGTAGACTACTTGTACAGCGGCCGGGGGAGGAATTTCGCAATGGACTACCGTCGAGGCGCGGTGAACGTGCTGGCGAGGAGGGCATGGAAAAATAAGAATAAAAAAACGGTTATGCGGACGGTGGACTAGGCTACTTGTACGTATGTTTCATTCATGCATGATACGATGCTCATGGCAAATACGAGTTTTGGTGATGGTAGACTACTTGTACAGCGGCCGGGGGAGGAATTTCGCCATGGACTACCGTCGAGGCGCGGTGAACGTGCTGGCGAGGAGTGCATTGCGTCCGGATATTTTGAAGCACATGAAGTTTTGGCAACTCAGTTGGTATCCCATTTCGTGCTGGCGTGCGAAAGATTCTCTCGTGTACGTAGGCGGCGTCATGCTTCTGCACCTCTCCATTTCAACCGCTCTTTCTTTGTGGCTATGTACGCACTCATTTTCCCTCTCGTTTGCTCGGGAACATTCATGATCAGATAACGTTCAAACACTACATACTCCTCCCACAGCAGTAGGGCACGCGTTGTTCAGTCTTTTATCTTCCCACAAGTCAAAGCTGAAGCCCAAATGGGTGACACACGAGTCCATATGACCTGTTTCAAGATGATCGTCGTGTAAGCGCAGAGGATCATTCTACGAAATCCGAAATCATTCCTCTTCGGCTCTATTACATCTATCTACATGGCATTGTGCATGGTAGAGATGCTTCCAGTAAACGTATTGCGATAACAAGTGATGTATCGGTGTTGTGGGCGCGAAGCTGTCGCTAGACATCGCGTCAGGGGCTTAAAAGGCCACGCATTGAGAGCGGGCCCACGAGAAACGTACTCACTGCTGTTGCCTGCTGTATCCTTCATAAGCAGAGAGACAACAGTATGTTCGAGATTGCTCTTTGCACCAAGGCCCCTCGTGAAGGTGCCAAGAAAGAGCCCAACATCAGGGTCTACCAATGTTTTAACAACAGTATCAGGTTTCGCGGCTCGTCACCGAAATCACTAGCCAAGTGTCTGGGGGTGTCGTCGACGTACACTATTGCGTGTGAGGCATCCGGCCGGTCTGGACAAGTGCTCGACGCTCATGCTCCACCCGTGCGGTCCTTCGACGGGTGGAAGCTGCTGCACCCCTTCACGAGAGTTTATTAGGAGATTTGTTCAATTGCTTGTATTGTCAGCGCATTTTCGACTGGCAGGTCTACCACCACACGGCCCACTGCGCGTTCCTTTTTTTTTCATCTGCTTTAACACTGACCAGGAGAAGGGTTTCTGAGTGCGCGGCTGGACGTTGAGCATCAGAGCGCCGGCGCCGGTTCGAACGGTCGCCGCCGACAAGAGGCACCGAAGGTGGTTATGGTGATCGGGATGCCCCGGGCCGGCAAATCGAACCTCGCCAACAAGTTGCTGAATCACCCCACGTGGGACGCCTTCGAGGAAGGCGATGGCACGTACGGGTCCACGACCGAGACCCAAAGAGTAGAGTGGGCCGACCTGGTCGTGATTGACACCCCCGGTTTTCCCGGCCACGACCCCAAGACCACTTCGAAGAACTTCGATGCCTTGGTCAAGGCGCTGAGAAGGGAAGGCAGCCTCAGCACTCTGATATTCTTGGTCCAGCAGGAGGAAGTGAGCCCGACGGAGTTCCGCGACTACGCCGTCCTCCTGAGGCAGCTTAACCACCTGCCCTGCTCCAAGCTGATAGTGTGCCGGCAGGCGGCGTTAAGCAGGCGCCACAAGCGAACGGAGGAGGAGAGAAGGTGAAGATGGCGTAGGAACCCCTGCAGCATTCATGACAACACTCTCACGCAAAACGATTGCGTTCGATGAAGAGCGACCTCGATTGCTTGCTATCCTCACCGAGGCCAAACGCGAAGCACGTAAGATTGCGCGGCGATGCCTCGGACCGAGGTGAGAAAATGCTAGCTTTCTTCGCATGCAAAGTAGAGCTATGGATAGCGGGGGCTCCAGAATTTCGGACCCTTCGCTTTCCTCGAACTAGCGGATATACATTTTTTTCTCGTTGCGTGCTAGCAGTCGTCGACTTGAAAAAATTGCCCGAGGCGATTCCTCATCTGGCTGACCCTCCTCATCGGGCACTTACTTGTAACCGTCTGCCCTTATTCCAAAAGGCATTCAGGCGCCCAGTTCGTTGAGGGCGTGCTGGACGACAGCGGCCTGAACATGCCGCTGGTGTTGCTCAACGACGGGTACGGGAGCGAATCAATCAAGCAGGTGGACGAGATCCGTCGGTTCGTTGGCCGGTCGGAACGCGCCCGGTTAGACCTTGTCGCCTCTCTACGAACGTTCGCCGAGCTCAGATCTTTCGCGGCGAAGCTGGCCGATCCGGCGTCTCGCCTTCGTACCGTGCGAGAGGAGGTCGAGCAGATGGAGGCGTCGCTGTGGCACCGAAGCCTGTGGATGGCGTGCCAGGTGGTGCCGCTGGCGTACATTTCGGTGTCCTCGCCGGGGGCGGGGTGCATATGGACGGGCCCGTACGTAAAGCGGGAGCAGGAGGCCTGCGCCAGGCTGAGGAAGGTGCGTGCATACAGCGAAAATAGGTTGTTGTGACTTCACGTATTTTCGACATTGGGCGAGACCCTCTGTGCCTGGTCACTATGCCACTGCACACCCAGTGGGTGCAGATGTGTCTTTTGCCAGAAAGGGTCATGAGACCTGTCTCCAACCGGGAAGAAAAAATCACTCTTGCTGCCCAGTGGGTGCGGATGTGTCTTATGCCAGAAAGTGCCATGGGACCTGTCTCTAAAACCAGGAAGAAAAAATCACTCTTGCTGCCCCGCTTGCACACTTCCGTACCACATGGTACTGCCGTGCGCTCAGGAACTCAACGATAAGAAAGAAGAGATCGAGCTCGACATTGTCGACGAACAGGAGTTGCGCGCTGCACAGGGTGTCTTGGCATTCCTCGACTACATGTGCGCCTAGCAATGGCGCCTATTGCAGCCACCGCGGATTGTGCCGCGGTAGGCGTGAGTCTTGACTGCGGCTGCTCCTGGCTGCTGTTCAGCATCTCCCCTTTCAGGTATCAGTAGGATATTCTGCCGACAGGGCATGCTTAGTAGAGGAAACAGTTTAGGAACTGGACGTTCGGATACGTGTGCGATGTGGAAGATTGGTCGCCGCCGGTAAGGAGGCTACGCCGTTCTTGTGGGTAGGGGTGTGTGTACAGCGTGCTGCAGCCGATTCACCGCCGGAAATATGAATGATGGGTTGGGTCTGCCAGCCTAATTTCTGTATTGTAGTGTTGGCACGTTTATCGGCCGTTGCTGCCCAGCGGAACTCGTCGCGTGCGTACCTCGTTTGGAACCGTTTTTTGCAAGTTTCAGTTCTCCGGTGGGCGGAGCTTGGGATACCCTTCTCTTTGTTTCAGTAGAATTACGTGCGCGTAAGAACCGCGTCATGTCCACCTGAGCGTATGCCACAGACTGTACCTACGCTGTGGCTCGGTTCATGGCAGGCAACGAATTGTGGCCGAAGCACTCGGTGTTTGTCGGTGAACTTTTGAAAACATCGGTTTTGGGTTTCCACACACTTCGGGGATGTTCTGGGAAATGACCTTGCCGAGCTTCGTTTTTTTTTTCACCATGTGTCGTTCACGCCACTAAGCTCGCTATCCTTAAATGGGTGATTTTATTGTAAAAAATCTCACTATTACATCGGGAATTTAGGTGCCGGGGTGTAGAACCAGCGCTCACTACGTACGAGCCCACGGGCGAAGCGGTAGGGTATCTTGGGCGTGGGGTAGGAAGTAGGGGTATTCCTTAGAAAAGGGTATCCTCTATGGTGCCGTTGGTTTACGGTTTCGCGCTCCATTCACTGTAAAAAGGGCGAGAATGGTTTCAGGTGAACGGAACATTTTTACGAGTAGCATTGCGCAAAGCAATATCGCCATTGCGCAAGGCATACGGCCTTGTTCCATATTAGGGCTAGTCCATTTACGCGGACTACGTTTACCATCCATTTATCAACGACCAAGCTGTTTTACCGGAAGGGGATTGCATTGGCTTGTGTGTTGGAGGTTTTGCTAAAAGAGTTCATATTCTGTGTTTGGAAGTAGCGCGTCACCCCGGTTGTACCATCCCGGTGGTACGAAGATGGTCCATGAGTGGTAGTGGGGCGGAGTTCGAATCTCGGCGAAAACAGTTTGTTGAACACTTCATGCCAAAGAGTGGAAAGCGCCTTCGTGACTTCAGAAAGACGGGGGTGAACCCATATCGTGATATATATGTATTATATTTTAGGGCAAGCACACACCATAGGATTTCAGTAAGGTGACCCCGATCGATGTTATGCAGCTAGAAGATAAATATGTTGAAATGGAGGGGTGCAAAATGCGTAGGGAACAGTACGTGAACTGCTGGACTTTTTCTTTACTCGCGATGAAAGTATTTGGGGATGTTTGGCGGTATTGGGGTTGTTGTTGTTGTTGTTTCTCACATTAGCTCTAAAAAAAAAAAGATTGGGAGCCCGTGGTCTCAAAACCCGGCATACACGACCCCACGAAGAAACAGAAAAAAATAGGGTACAAAAACCACTCGGAAGAGAAACAAAATGATAGAAAGAAAGACCAGCTACCGCACCAAACGAGAAAGAGCGTCGAGGAGACCGATCAAAATAAAATAAAAGGAGAACGGGGAACGCTTCCCACACCCGCCTACAACGCCGGAGGGTTCCGTGCCGGGTTCCCGCCGACCAGGCATGGTAGTATGGTGATGTGGGGTGGATAACATGTAGCGTTACTGTCGGGGCACTGATATTCTTTTCTGCGTGATTCATTTTGAGAAAGGTCTGAACACATGCTATTTTTTTTTTTTATATTGTTGTATTGTTTGCCAGACATGGACAAAAATAGCTATTGTGATCAACTATTTCCACAACTGCCATGTTTCCGTTTTATTTCTTGTTTTTAACGAACAATTCGTTGTACCGATACAATTTTGGATCATTCAACGATGGAAGACTGAAAGACAAGATAACGGCCCGGATGATTCGCCCGGGCAAGACTAGGTAGCACTCGCTGGCGTCGTGCTGAAAATTTGTGCCTCTCCGACAAGCTGATCAGACGCTCTGATAGTCTCCGAGACACCATGCCATCTCCAATACCGCGGCCATCGTGCAGCTGTCCTCCCCGCTCCCCCCCCAGTTGGCCCCGTGTCCGCACGAAGAATGCCACGTGTCCTTTGCGGTGCCTGCAACCACGGCGTGCGCACAGCGAGCGTCCCTTCCCAGCTCAGCCAGGGACCAGCTGCCGTGCGTGTGCGGCCTTGGCGTGGCCTGCAGGCCGTTGCTGCTCGAGGCCGTGGTGGACGTAGTCACGTGGACGGAGCGAAGGTTAAGTCTCCAAAGGTCATCCAATCTCCGCCAATCGTCCTTTCCCCCGAAGAGTATCAACAGCCCGTGTGTGCTGTCACTAGTGGAGCTACCTGGCAGGGTCTTCACCATCGCCACGGAGGAGGAATACCTGGTTGCGGGAGACAACGCAGTACAAGCGTTTAATACCCAGCAACCTTTGACTCAACAAACATGCTTCGTGTTTGTTGTGTAGTACTTCAGGCCCTCTTGCCATCTCTCTCCAAATGACGCTGCGAGAATAACCTCGTCCGCTTTGTGATTCAACCAGTATTGCGTGCAGGACGTTTTGGGCAGGGTCATCCCTTTCTCGCAACACCAGCCCAGCAAGGGTTGGCCATGGTTGCCGTCCCCTCCCCCACTATGAGAGGCAAACCGGTAGGTAGACTATATTCCAGCCTACCTACCATGCGTAGCCCATTTACGTCCCAACTCAAGTGAAATGGCCCACACCCGAAGCCCTCGTCTCGCACTCTTCTCATATTTCTATCATCATCGACAAAGTAGCTCCTCTATATAGCGGGTAAAGCAAGCCTCGAGAACAGTGCAATAGAAAAGAAAGGCGGTTTGTCATCTTGCCTGCCCACCGGCGACGACGCGTCGACCCCGCCATCGCGATTTACGGAGCGCCAACGTTTGGACACGGGGTCCAAAACCCACACACCCGACGCTGACTCCACCCCACGCCCCGGCAGCATGCCCCCGATCGAAAGCACCCCCCAGGGAGACACCATGATGCTCGCCCCGTGAGGGTTGAAAGGGCCGGTGGATGCCAAGGGAACACCGGGGCCTTCAGCAAGGATCATCCACTCGGAAGAGGCCTCTCCGCGTCGCCAGAGGTCCGACAGCGCCCCGAAACTCCCCGTGCCCCCCGAGACAAACAGGCCTCCGTCGACGACGGCCGCTGTGTGCCTTGCCCGTGCGGGGGGCCTCGCGTCGCCGGTAACGTTGATCCACCTGCGGAGGCGCGCAAACGCGCGAACGGTCGCACAGGGAGGCCGTCGGGTGCCCAAGCTCCTGGGTACTCAGTAGCAGAGGAATTCTTGCCATCGATGAACGGACAAATTTCCGCCAACACTACTGCGGATGGACCCATAGGGTGCGCCAAGCACTATCGTTAGATACACCCTCCATTGGGCGCGTGCTACGGAAACGTGTCTACTCTTGTAATGTCACGAGCGGCATTCGATATACGGTATGCAGCATACGCGTTCTCTCTTCACAATACCTACTTTCAAACGTTGGACAAACATCAAAGTCGTCGTTGTTGCAGCCATCAACCACTTTGTACGAAGAGCTTGTACGCTGGTACTCAACACCTGGCGCACTACACCACGCATCTACACCACTGAAACTGACCGGAGTGCCGATCGCCAATCGCACGGGCGAATCTCGACGTCGAGAGACCAGCGGGAAACGGTGCCGTTGCTTCCGTCGACCGCGTTGTCAAGCACGCCAAGAGTCCATTCCCCTTCGGCCGGCATACGGAGGAACCGACCAACCAACAACCGATCTGCGGCCTTGAATGTCCCCCTGAGCGGACTACACGATTGGTGTACAAAACATGGGGGGTACCGAAATTTGCCTTCTTACCGTGCACGTGTTCATGTCCGTAGCGGCGTTTCAGTAGAGTAGGCGATCGAGGAAAGGGCACCTGGCTCGTGGTTTTCGAGTCATAGGTTGTGAAACTGCGTTTCCAACCTTCAGGCTGTATGACAGGTGTGAAGGGGACTACGAACCATGCGGAAGAAGCAGGGGCGGCCAAGAATCCATGTACATAGTCTATACTCAAAACGTGTGGCCGGAAAATCGCAGTTCTCTGGCCTAGTCGCGTGGGCCTCGTGCATGGTTCTGGCGTGTCGTGCCAGAACGTATATCGCTGATATCGACGAGGTTGCAACGGTAAGGCACTTGGCACCGTCGCCGGCGCGTGCGTACCTCCTGTTGTTGCAGCCCTCCCACACGCCGCTCTCCGCAGAATCTTCGAACGATACGTCCATTCTATCCACGCACCCTCCATAGGAAACGTCGCCCGCCGCGCCGTCAATTCCATCCCCAAACAGATCGACGTCGGACGCACAGTCTGCGATGCCACCGCCGAGGACCAGCACGGCCGGCTCAGCTCTCGACACGTCTCCGAGCCGGCTCGTGTCTCCCGGGGGGGGTCCGGGGCCGTAGAGCGTCAGCTGAAGCTGTCGGATGCAGTCGTGATCGATCTCTACGGCAACCGACAAGTCCGTGACGCACATGTCCACGTCTGCTTCGGCCCGCTGCGCTTCTGTTTGCTCCACGACGAGAGGGATGAAGGTCTGGCCGCCCTCACGGATGTTCTGGTGGGGTATTATTCGTGTTGGGGTTACAAAGGCGAAGAACGAGCGTAGACGAGGAAGACCGCGGGTCCTTGATTGTGTCGCGTCGAACACGTAGACTACTGTAGACTAGTGGTGAACGGGTTGGTCTGATCGCCAGAAGACGACAGCTAACTGCGGTAAACGGTAGCAACAACATGTACAACAACAGCAGCAACAACAACACGATTCACGCGACGCACCTAACGAGGGATGAGAAGCACAAGGATTTGCTGCACACACTCTATGGGTTCGGTTGACACTGTCAGCGCTTGGATACCAAAAAGAAACGGTCATTGTGCCGCGTACCCAACATTTCGATGACATCCGGGAGAGAACGAGAATATCATTGGCACAACACTCGGCGACCGTGTCAGGGTTGATGCTGAGATGATCCAGCTGGCGCGATATTGATGTCACCCGAGCTGTCTGGCTGACGAGTTCTTGCTTGATGGGAGCAAAGAAGCAGACTCATCCCAAACCAGCGTCATACATCAGGCGTCGCATACACCCAAAGAAACAATACAGCATTTTGGCACCCACCGTGGAAGAGTTGGTGGACATGGTGATGAGCTGGCTTAGGTCGAGGTCGATTTCCCACTCGTCTTGAAGCAAGGCGGTGTTCGACCCTCGCCCGGCTTGAGTATCGGAGTCGGATTTATTCCCTCTACCACCGAAGACAATCATTTTGGAGCCGGCTACGCTAGCGGTATGTCCGTCACGCGCCGGGGGGGCATCTCCGTCGATATTGACCAGGACTTCCGTCCACACGCTTGTTGACGGGTTGAATTCCCACAACTCGGCGCTATCGTCGTGAGGATCAGCCGTCCGTGTGCGAGTGTATACAATGTTCGTAAAAAAGGGCGCGTCTTAAGCTAGTTTCGATGTTTTCTAGACGCGGTGCTTCGTACAACATCAAGTTGTACAAGTCCCTCACACACGTTGTCGGCCAGAAAAACTTTGTCCGACACTTGTTTTCGCACACGACACGGTTTTGAACGAAGGCGGACTATGTAAGCTAGGGACCACTTGGAGCAGCACAACATGATCATCAATCATACTGGTTTGACGAATTCGTATTGTCGGGGAAACACCTGACCAGGCAGATTTCGAGAGAGACGCGTAAATATGTTGCACTGTTGGTTATCGAGACAAGATTCTCATACGACAAACAACGATGCTCGTCAGGAATCAATCCCTAAGATGCATGCAGGAGTGAAGTAGCCTACGAAACATCAATGGGCTTTCACATGGATCACCAGCGGTAAACGACTGTAACTATTGCAGCGTCCACGGGACGTACCATTCAGTAGAAGAGCCAGGACCCACCTGAAAGAGTCGCCCCCCATGCAATCTTCGGTGTTGGCCCCTCCCGCGGTATCTCCTAAGGCGGTAGAACCCACTGTCGCTGATGAGCACAAAGGTTTTGCTGAAATACCTCCAAACATGTACACCTGCAACAGGTAGTACAAGTGCCGTCGGGATCATCTTTGACAGTTCGTGCGGAGTTACCAGTGTGGGAAAATGTCGAACTTGAGTAAATTAAAGCGGGAAGAGTAGGGGCATTGAACAGCGGGGACGTGTGCGGAATGGAATATCCGCCGGCATACCTTTCCGGCGATGACCACCATCGTGTGACCCGATCTTGGCGAGGGGAGCTCCTGCCTCATCTCTGTCGGGGGATTCGATAACCCGCCCCCCTCTGCCTACATTCAGCAAGTGCGCACCGAATTCGAGAGACTCACGTGACTTTATGGTTGAAGCTTTGAGATGCTAGGTCCAGAATCATGACTCAGGTCAGCATGATTACATACAAAGTGAACGATCGCTGGAACGTTTTTTTTTTTTTCGGTCATAGAGGTGGGCAAGCAAGAGACTGCTCAGCGGAAAGTTGCGCGATCAGGCTCGACAGATATCATCCATGTATGCACGGCGTAAACGATCAACTTATTCAAAAGCGCCACACAACGACTTACAGACAAAATTTCCAACTTTTCCCCCCTTTTTCCTGGTGTGCAAGCTTTTCGTGAGGACGTAGGTGTGCCACATACCCGTGCCGAGACACGCTAATCGTTTCATCGATCCTTCTCGCTCTGTATGGTTCCCACGGCTTGAGAGTGGTCCAAGGTTGGATTGGCAGAGTTCTGACCAATACCTAGACTTGACAGTGATGTTTGGTACCTCCATTGACGCCAGATCCGTGTCCCATGAATCAGTCCTCCCGAGTTCGGGACCCGTGAGTCCGCGCCCATGTCGCTCCGGCCAAGAGGGCCGTGGGAGGACCTGTATCAGCCCGTCGATGTCGTGGTCACAAAGTAAAAGGGATCTACGGTCTTTGGCAAGTGCGCTCAACAAGAAAATCCGTCGGAAGTTCGACCGCGACAAACGGCATAATGCTCGCATACTTTGTTCTCAACTTACGGCAAAATGAAAAAAATATTTTCTTCTCACCCGTTCCCATTCGTTGACGGGGAATGCAATCGTTGAGAAGCTGACCACGGCCGATGGAGTTCCTGCCCCCAATCTTGCAGTCGCCATGTCGTCAACAGCGTGAAAAACAACGGCGGGGTGGGTGTCGCGACAGTTGTGAAGAAGGACCGGAATCATTTGTGTTCAGGGTTGTACTCTCGATGTAACGTTGCAGAGTTTCCACAACGTTTTTTGCACAATACGGTTGTCACCTGTGCCTTGATCTCGAGCCCCCCGCACGTCATGTGTGTGTACATATGTGTATGGTTGGATGGCTGGCCCAAGCCCGGCGATGAATGTATCTCATCCTCCGTACTAGTAAAAGAACCCGAAAAAACAGCCCGGCTCGCCCCAACAAGCGAACCCAAGCCACCTTCATCGTGGGTCCTCCATGTGAATCGATACTGTTACGGTAAGCACATACAGAGTACATACACCTTGGAGTCCTACTATTGTTGAATGTTATCCCGTTGACACACCTCGAAATTGGAACAACTCGCACATCGAAGTCAGAGCTCGGGCTGAGGCCCGAAAGGACTGCACTCAGAAACACGGACGTGGTATCGCCAATGTCATGGGTGTAAGGCGACATCGCGGATGGACTGTATCCGTCCCATGCGTCCACTCTTGCAGACAGGCGAAAGTCTCCATTGCCACGCCCCTTGGAAATCTCGACCTGCCAAGAAGAAATCCGAGTCTTTGGTGGGAAGGAGTCCTCGATTACACAGACCCTTGCTGCGTCGGACGCTTGCTGCGTCGCACGCTAGGTGCGTCAGGTGGTGTCGTATCGAGACACGACTCACACGGTTGTATTGGACTATATAGAGCTGCTGACCTACCACGCGCAACGGGGTCTGGATATGAAGGTCAACGTCGGTACATCAACACCAACGGGCAACGTTGCCTCGAATTCATCGAGAAAATACATTAAGACTACCAGAAACTTGCGGATTGCAGTCCCTGTAACGAAAGAGTGAGGGTTTTCCTATTCCCCCTTGTGCTTATATTTCCTTTACAATAACTTGCCATCACCCGCATATCCCTTGTCGTGTTGATGTGTTTTTCTCGATGAACCCGAGGCAATGTTGCCCATTGGAGTGAGGTGGACCAACGTTGACCTTCATGTCCAACACCCCAAGTCCAACAGCGAAGCTAATCTATCGGCGTGAGTCATCGCTGATACACACACTTTCACTCGAGCCTTTCTACGAACAACTTTTTTCTTACGAACGACTTGACCTCCTAGCCAATGCCACCAACGCACACACCTCGAAAAACATTGGCTCCTCCCCAGCGACGGCGCCCACCACCGTTCGCCATTCCACCTCGACCCAACTCTCCCCAACCTCCACTACCCTCACGCCGTCCTCTCCCTCCGCCCCCCACTCGTTCGTCCTGTGGTTCAAGGCCAGCGCACCGATGTCAGCGTGAGAAGATCCACCCCCGCCCCCCGCCCCCTGCTGTCCGGATCCGCCCCCTCCGCCACCGTAGAAACCGCCCCCGCCGCCTCCGCCCCCTCTCGCGCCGTTTGCCCCCATGCCCCCGGTTAAGGAGCGGCCAGGCGTGGCTGGGCGGGAGCTGGACGTGATGAAGGAAATTTGATGTGTGTGGCGGGTTGGGGAGTGAGACTGAGCGCGGACTCGAGCCAAGATCGGATAGCTCCCAAAGCGGAAGCGCGGTAAACCCGCAGAAGCAACGCGACGAAGCTAAGGAGCACAGCCAGACGTATGTTTTGATATGCGTGACCGCACCAATAACTGTGGTCTACTCCTTCCTGGGTCTTCAAGATGTTACCGAGAGTTTACTTCGCATCCATCCCCGGGCACGATCGGTATTTTCATGGACCAACCCTATGCGATATGCCAGTGTTGGTTCCGGTGCTCAGCAGGCCCGATGCCATCATGGATCAAGCCTCCCTGGTTGGGACGGAAACCACCGTTGAAAACAAGGAGAAATTCCAACCTTTCCACAACTGGTGGGGAAGCCGATACTTTGCCCTGACAATAAACTACAGGACAAGGCCGGAGGGGGTTTCAACGGTGTGGGGGCACCAACACCATCTGTCATTCCAGAGGATGCGGTTCGTTCTGGTGCGTGAATCCGCGTCCTAAGACCGTATGGGCTCACGGGGATTCCACCTGCTGTTGTCGTAAGTACAGTATCCTTCGCCACAGACTGGCGAGCTCGTTCGTGGCTCTGACTTGTATGTACTTGAGTCCTACTTGGAAAACAACCCTTTCACGTCGAACAAGGAGCACTCCCTCCCCCATCACACCACTGCGTTTGGCCGTAGGACGTTGGTTTCGCAACGAATACGGAACGAACGACTGGTTTCCCAGGCGTCACGATATTGAGTTCCATGATGATTCTCTCACCCGGTTCCCCTGAAGACGATTGGCATTGAACTCTCCCCGCTACGAGGGGATGAAACTGCTCCTTGACGCCCACCACCTCCGTCCACCCAGTCGAAGACGTCTGATTTGCCTCCGAGCCCTCCCTGGACGGTGCTTCCGCCGCTTCCTCCAGTTGTGACCCAATTCTCAATTTCTTCATACGACACTGCATCCACCTTCTCTCGTGTCGTGTGTGCGTTGCGATCAAGGAATGGCAACAAGGTTGTATGTAGCACAATAATACCACATATATGTTCTGAATTAGTTTCTTCGGACACGATTCACGCGGGGAGCTTTCAATATACAAGGCAGCCGCCTCTCGTTAGTACATTACTCGAGGATAATTTTGTCGGCACGACGACATTTTCCCGGTCGCACCGGCGTTCTGTCCGTGACCAACGCGAGAGCTCTCTCTCCGCCACCGAGGCCTTAGCCCCTTTTTAACCCTCATATGAAGACGTTCACTTTGCCAGCGTAAAGATATTGAGGTTTGGGGACCGCGGGAAACATACCTCGGATGCCGAACACCTTCCGTTCTGGCATTCCCCTCCCCCTCCGGTGTTGACCACCATCTGATCGAGAGCCGGGCTGCCTCCGTCGGTACCCCTGGCCCCGCCGCCGGCGCCGCCTTCGGCGCAGCAGCTCTCAGCATTTCCCGCGCCGCCACCGCCTCCGGCTGCTGCGACTAGGCGTTTCCCGCCCCTTCGCAGCACGGAGGTTGACCCCCCGCCCCCCGCGGCTCCGCTTCCCCCACTACCCCCTGTTGGTTTCGAGGTGTCATGGTTGGCATATGATGCATATCTCTAACGAGAACGTGTTGTTCTTCGTGTGTCTGGTAGGTTTCGGTTATTGCGTACTTGTACTTGATCTTCCCTCTGTGGACGAATGATGAGTATGTTTGGGCCGTCGACGTCACAGAGGTAGGACAGCTGCTCCTCCGATCGACACTAAGGGTAAGCAGAAAGAACATTAAGGACAAATCGATGGTTCCACCACTTTTCCCAAACCCACCCAGCTTCTTGAACACATCAATCTTGCTAGCGTAGCTCGTGCCGGAGAACCAAGGGTATGAGTACCGAGAGCTCGACCACGACCTTGTTACCCAAGAGCGTATCCTTCCTGCATGGAAAAAGGATCTCCGTTCCGATGAATTTCATCCACCTGGCTGCCCCCCGTTGAAGCCCCCTGCTCCTCCTGCTTCCCCGCGCGCTCCCCCACCTCCACCCCCGACCAAGACCTCAAGCATCTCCCCCGGGGACACCTTAATCTCAGTCTGCAAGAATCCCCCACCGCCTCCAAGCACTGCAGAGGTGTACGCGAGGTAAATTTGCAGGGGCGGCGGTTGAGCTCGTGGGGCGGGATTCGCCAAGACTTTGAACCACCAATAGTTCCAACCTATATTGAACGTGTGGCTTAACGATCACAGCAGTATTATTCACTGGCCATGATAGATGGACTCGATTCATTCATCATGCTCATACAGCTTTGGTGGCCTTGGAGAAACTGAATGTTGCGCATCGAAAGAGGCAGAAAGCATGACTGGAATTTTGTGAATAGGTGGTGCCGCAACCGGCTTTGAGCCCTCAGCCTTCGCTTGAGAGCTCTCGTGATGACACGCCCGGACACGCGGTGCAGTTTAAAGGTTTCCCTGGCAGGAGGGGCGCGGAGAAGGATAGCCGATAGGGTCCAGGCTCCGGATTCGAACTGCTTGCAAAACAAGATGCAGCACCACGTGATGTTTCTGCTGGGGTACCTGTGTCTACCGCGATACGTAGCATCACTATCCTGGAGATGGTTACTCAGCGCCCTGTTTCTCTTCGGTCTGAGGGACTCTTCAAGTGCCAAAGCATGTTCGCCCCTAAGATAAGACAAGACCTTCCTCCACTAGCCCTGAAGGTCTACTACGCCTCTTGTGAGTTTTTACGGGCGTATGGAAGTTCTGGTGGGTCCCCGACATTGCTCTGGTCCTCATCGTTGCTCTCTCTTGTTCCTCCCATTCAAAGGACATCCTCTTCGTTGTTGATTCCAAGTTCTCTCGATCAATTAAATTTTCCTGGCGACATGCGCCCAGGGCATGCACCGGACGGAACCAATGGAAACAAAATTTCGGTGCATTTTCGCCCCAAGCTTGATTCTGTTCTTAAGGTAACATCCCCAGCATGCCCGTGAGTGCGTCCCGGGGTGTTGACTGTTCACGAGTTGACCATTGCCCTTTCTCTCCGCCTTGCAAGGATCCTCGATAGCTTCTCAGTGATCAAACCTTGCGTCGCGTTGGAAGTCTCGTTGTCTGCAAGGGCACTCGCGGCCGCTACTGGTGTCAAAACACCTCCTCCACCTGCTCCCCACAGTTTGAGAGTAACGCTTGTCGCGCCCGAATGACTTGGGACTGCGTACAACTCCGGCGCGCCTGTGCCCGTGCACGAAATCACGTAGTTGCCGCACCGTCGGCACGTTCGGAGCGTTATCGTGAGTCCTAAGCAAAAAATGTGTTGTCAGAGCAACGCGCTCGTCCCGGTTCCACCCACATTGAGACTAGGAATCGATACGTGCGCAATTTCACGACCTGTCCAGATTAGTGCTTGGCTTGGGCATATGATTGTAGGATGTTGTGCTACACGGCACCGGACTGCGAGTTTCGCGTTTATTCAAGACCTCGTTCGCTCGACGCGCTCAGCGATAGATGAAGTCTCGCTACGGTGGGTTCTTCATGCTCCGGTTTTCTTACCCATATTTAGCACGCACCCCACCCCTAAAAGCCTTACTGGGACATGTTCTTTGCAGCAGAGCAGGGAAAGGGAGCGCATGTCATGAGTGTCACGCGAACCGTCCCCTCCCTATTCGACCCATTCGGGCATTGCCACCACCCACCATTCGGACGGTTAATGGAGTTCCTCTCACGATCATCGGTGCGTCTCCCAAGCACAAAGCAAAAACCGATACCAAATGGGGAGTTGTGCTCTTTGTACAGCCTACCCCTCGCACCAGCGGATCAAAGGGTTTTTGGAGGTGTTCTCTTACCAGTGAAGAAAAACGAAGACCGCGACGGTAAAGGGACACCCGGAACCCTCGACACGATGACGGCCGCTCCCGGACCCCCGTCTCCCCCTTGGCCGTCGAGAGAGACCTGCCCACCGACCCCTACGCCGTGGTAATAGTCGAAGTCTTCGGCGTGGCCTGGGGTTTGCCCATCTCCACTCACCGAGAGCAGCACAGAAGCCGGAATACCTTGGGGGTGCGGCGAAACAATGAAGGGTGCATCGTGGTTTGGGGAAGGGATCACGCGCAGGGAGACCTGAAGCGGGGAGAATAGGAATAGTCACCCACCCATCTTACTCGTATTTTTTATGGAAGATATTGCTACACATCAGGGGATTTCGCATACCGTGAGTGTATCCTCTGTTTTCTGCACCACCCGAACAAGTAGATCCGAAAAACAATGGGGAAGGCGTGATTCACCGTCATACATGGATGTTTCGATGCTTTGCCAATGGACGATGTAATTATTCTATATAGCGATTTTTCTATCTCCGTGACGTAGTGGGACGCCCCCCTGGTCTGTCCATTCTCCATGACTGTACACCCACCCAGGTACTTTAAGTGTCACGTGTACTACTATGTGCGGGTCATGATCGTGTCCCTCCCGGAGCACCACCGTAGCCCATCAAAGGGAAAGAAGCGGAAAGGTACCCATTCCCCTCAAATCCACCGAACGTCACAGTGAACAAACCGTATCACCTGAATCGATCGCCTCCGCCTCGAAGCCTTCGACGCCGGCGGTAGTCGAGGGTTTCCCTTCGGTCCTGGCCCAATCGCTAGCTGCAGACCACTCGCCGGCACCGACCGCGTTGACGGCTCGCACCCGGAATCGGTGCTGGGAGTAGGCCTCGAGCCCTTCCGCGGTTGCTCGCCAGTCCTCCTGGCTCCCCCTTCGCGATTTTTACGAGTTTGAGATGGCCGGTCCACGGCACAAAGGAGGCTCGTTTTCGCGATGAATTTGGTGCGTAGCTGTAGATAATTCGAGTATGTGTTACTCGGGCGAGTGCCATCAACCAAGAAAAAAATGATCCCTAAAACAACGTTGCGCTCCGCTTTTGGACGCCAGGAGAATGCTTCTTGATTGATTACAAAAAAACGCAAGAGCGGCAACAAAGCGTGGCGGTTGTGCCCAAGCTGTGACTGTCACGATTACCGATGGAGCAAATGCGTGGTTGATGCTGAGAAACATCTCATGGTTGGAGTACTACCCTTTTCCTGCGTAAAAGGTGTCTCATTTTCAAAGGGGCAGCACAGAGTTCGATGCCAAACGTGTGCGGCTTGCTGGTGAGCCTACCGATCTTGAGTGATGGTCGATGCATTTTGCCAGTGACCGCTACCGAGCCGCTCCCACTGAGCCTCGAAACTGCTGTACTCGACACCTGCGGAAATAAAGACAACAAACGAATTTTTCATTTACATGTGCGCACAACGAGATGGCTCGAGGCATCAAACGGTTCCTGTTGCCCCTGCGTCTACCATCATCACGAACGGGTCTCGGCCACTAACATCGACACGTCCAACTTCACCAGCGAATGTATTGCAGATTTGTTTATTTCTTCGTGGGTGTAGCGATCGCCATAGATTTCCCCCTCTTATGTTTCAAGGCTTGAGAACCTCGAAAAATCTGCGCTCTTGCGAGTGTCTGTGTTTCAGTGTCTTGGCAGTGTAGCACTTGCGCCCGGGTGTCAACATAGACAACGACGACGACAACGTCGAAAACATCAACGGAACACAAGAGTTTTTGGCTATTGTCCTCCGACTCTATTACCTACCTGCCAGTGCCCATGACGACCACTTGACCGCCATCGTGCTGGGAGTTATCGACGTCACGTCCACAGTAGGCGCCAACGGCGAGGGTGTTGGCAGTCCCAGGCCTGTGGCGATTGACGATGTGTGCTCGTCAATTGGCACTCCCTCGTAGCGCCGACGATCTCCGAATTCTTCACATGTCACCGACCATCAACGTGATTCAAACACAAGTCCACCCTCGGACCACAATTGTACCCGACACTAGGTACCGCAAGCTTCAAACCTCAAGTTGACTCTCGGAGCAACGAACAATACACACAGGTGCACACGTTCCTTCGAAAGTTCGCTAACGCCATCATGAAACATCTGTCGCCGACCTTTCACAACCTGCTTCAGCGCAAGTGTAAATCCGTTTTTCGTGTGCTCGACGTTTATCTTGCCTGTGGTAAAAGGCTCCGACACACCGCTGACCAGGCTAAGTCCGTTGCTGTGCCTGGCCCTCACCCTGAAGCGGTAGCTGCTGAACGGCGACAGCTCCGTTGCTGTTGCCAGCGGTACTGCGGCATCGCTATTGTCGTCGGCATGTGTTAAGACCGGAATCCACCGCGTGGTGTCCCCTCTGTAGCCGTCATCCTCGTGCCGCTGGACTTCGAACTCGTAGGCCTGCGAAGTGCGTACCGCAGACGCCAACCGGTAGAATCGAAACCACAGCAGTGGTGTTGGCCAAACCGTTTCAAAACATGGCAGCCTTGGAAAATGGAACAGCCCCAGAGAAACGTGGCAATTCCGCTCACGCGTTCTGTCAGTATTAGGGATTCCACCCGAAATGTCAGAGATGATGCGTTTCTTTCCCTGCAAGGTGGCTCTAAGGCACGTTATTAAGCTTTAAACGGTGCCCCTCCATCTCCGGTTGGGTCGACCTCGATATAATCGACCGAAGCGACAAAACACCACAGTCAGTTCGTCGGTGCTGAATACGAACGAGAACCCCGTATGCTGCAAAGATTGGGGTGTTCTCTGCTGCTTGAGTCCACACGTTAGTGGCGCTTGCTGGCACGTCATGATACAGTCGAATCTGCGACGAACGATAGCCGCACGAATCATAACCAATGCAATCGTTGTGAAGTGTTTTTTTGCTCGGATTGATACTGTTTTGGTTGTTGTGGAAGTCGCTGACTACTTTTCTGTTGAAAATTTCACAAACTTGTTCTTTCCGAACACAAGAGGCGGTGCTCCTCGAGGTGATACATTGAAAGGTTTGGACCTCGATTGGACCTTTGTACTCAACACGCACTGGGCATGGGCCTCCTCAGCGTCCTCATTGGCCTTTCGACCGACCTACTTGGGGACGTGTGGCGATTTCTGGAGTTTCATAGTGTCGCCACGCCTATGAATCTCAAGGAATCAGTTTCCTGAAATTCACATGCCTTCTTACCTCGATCTCCGCCGCTCCGGCCGTGCTTGCCGTGTCCACAAACACGGTGAGGCTGGTTGGGGTTGAAGATGAAAGCTTCGGAGCTTTGGGAGATGGGGTCACCGGTACGGTATTTGTGCTAATCCCGGCAGCCCCTCCCGTCGTTCCCACAGACATCTAAACCATGCAATCACCAAAACGACGCGCGTCGGAACCCGCGAAGGGACGCTGAAGGGGGAACATGTTGTGTACGGGTGTTTCAACCGTTCAATTGTTTCGTGACGGAACGCACGCGCTCGCGTTAGCGTAGAGGTTCTTAGGAGAATCAGAGAGGGCGGCTGTCGTGCAGGTCGTTCGCACACTACCGAAAGCGCTGCGAGAGCCAACAGTTTCGAAGCAAAGGCCGGTCGTGTCCAGCAAGGTTCAGAGGCGCTTGCTTGTCTGTGAAGGATGAGAGCATATATGCCGAAGCTACCTACGTGATAGACGAAGCGTTGGGGCCGAGGCCAACCAAATTTGACGCTTCATCATTTGTTCTAATCTTGAGGGGGGAAATCGAGTCAAGCTCCTTGCTCTCGGTCGACGACCGCAGATCTACCGTCCGCCGTACAGGGGCTTCGGGCGAAGTGTTCCGCGCGAGATCACGCGATCGTCCTTACATCAGAGGTAGATGACATCCAGGGACCGAAGCCATTCTGGTTGTAGGCCCTCAGCCTCACGAGGTACGGTGTCGCTGCCGTTAGACCCTCCAACATGCGTTCACAGCTGTGAAGACAGCAAAAACGACGCTGTTGGAACGATGTGGGTCACAATATAGAAGGATGAAAAAAGGTGCCTTGTCCCGCGATGGTGAAAAAACCTCCGACAGTCCATCGTGGAGCAGGCCAACCGTCTGAAGTCATGTTTCCATTCAACCGGCAGACAACCCGCTTGAACACTTGTCGACATTTTTAACCGTAAGTACACGAAACGGACAACAAGCTCGACCCGAAATCACAAACCAGACCCACAAAAAATAATCTACACCTCGAAAGCACTTTTCCACACCTTCCTCTTTGGCAAAAGAAAGGATCGATGAGGTTTGTTCGTCCCAAATCCTCTTCGTGCGCACTGTCTTCTCCTCCAGATTGAAAATGATCGCCGAAGCGTTCAGATACAACCTGAGCAGCAAACGAGTAGATGAATCTTCAGCCCCGAGCGCCAAGAATATCGGAAAAATTACGGCAATTCAAGACCTTTTCTGCGTTCACAACGGGGGGCGGTCTTTTCAACATGTTCGGGCTCTCAACGTAAGGCCTCTTGTCACGAAAAAACTGCATCATGGCATTGCTCGACTAGGCAACCAAACGCAACTCTTTGATGTTTGGGCGCACGCCAAGTCATGTCGTCTCCACCACAGGGTGTGCACAATCCCAACCACATGCAACACGTACGGCGTACGAAGCAGCCCCTCGAGGACGAAATCGATTGTCGCACCTGATCGCCATCTCCACTCCATTTCGCCGTGATTGTTTCTTTCGTCACCGTCACCACCGGGAAATCCTCACGCGTAGCTGAAGCATCTCCGGGTGGGGGGGACAGCCTGTTTACGTAGAGCACGTCGACCATCACGGTCCGGTGAAGGCTCTCGGATAAATCATGCTGAGGTATGGCCAGCCGGCATTGGTCATGACATTTTCATGAGGCACTGCCGGGCGTCCGAGAGTCCTAGCGTTGACTTGGTAGCTTACCGTAGGTGCCAGGTGAAGCCCCCGTACTCGAGGAAACGACACCCCCCCGCCCAATGGTTGCCGCCCCGCTCTTCAGTCTCGTCGCATCTCACCACGGCAACCGTCCAAGAGGAGTACTGGGGATGCCTAGATTCTCTGATAACTCATCGCCACGCGAGGGAGTCGGGCAACGTCAAAGCGTCATAGCAGATGGTCCTACTCGGTCCGGCTAGGTTGGGGAGGTAAGGCATTCGTGTCGTTCGTTGGTTGAATTATGGCCGACTATTTCGAGCATATGGAATAATTTTGCACTGAAAGTTTACAAGGATGTAACAACCGTCAACCGAAAGACGGAGAACAGATCGCAAATTGCGACATCGCGGTTTGGGGCTACATGGAGCGCTGCAGTCGATGGAGGTCTACAAGCACTCTACTCTTGCGGCGAAGAAGCTGTCCTCACGTGGAGAAGCGACAACGAAAGTGGAGGCACGTGTAGGACCACGTGAACAGTATGACCCGTTAGGAAGCCGAGAGGGACGAGGGTGGACAGCCAACTTCCATCAAGATCATGAACGGAGATTCCTCGCAACTGATGACAGAGAAGACATAGTTGAGTCCAGTCGGAGGAATTCTCCGACTGACGTTAGACGCTTCAGACAAGATGTGAAATGAGGCTTGTTTGTTCAAGAGAGACAAGTCCCACATTACCTCCACAGGTATTAGGGGTGACAAAGCTCGCATTCCACAAAAAATTAAGAAGTAGGTGAACTTGTTAACAAGAGTAGAGAGTTCATAACTCTCCAAGGACTGTAGCGCAAAACCACAACGACGTCAGCGTGTGTGGGAGCACCGCTGTCACCAATGTCGCCATTTAGTTGTGGGCCGACGTCTTCCATGACAAAGACTGCGACACTGTGCCGCACAACGCACTTGTCCTAGAGTGTCCCAGTCTTTGTCATGGCAAGTACAATGAGTCCGAGGACGTCGACCAACAACTCTTTGGTGATATGGGTGACAGCGGTGCTGCCGCAAACGCTGACGCCAATGTGGTTCTGTGCTACAGTCGATGTAGAGTCACGAGCTCTCTATTGCGGCGAGCAAGCTGTCCTCACTTCTAGAAACGACAATGACCACCTGTAGGAGTGGACAGCAGGATGACAGGTTTGGCGGAACCAGAGAGTTGAAGTGAAATGAAGTTAACTGAGAGGAGCGAGGCCGGACAGCCATCGGCCATCAAGATGACAGAGGAGTCACAGATGAGTCCAGTCGGAGGGATTGTCCGACTGACGGTGGACATTGCAGACAGACATAAGGAAGACTGTTGGCAGGAGCCACAATTAATTCCCACAACATTGGTGAAGTATTATTTCGCATCGTTCCGGAGAAGACTCCCTGAGCCTTGGTCTTCAGAGTGTTGTTGTTGTGGGGTTCATTCAGTTGTGTCAATCTCTGGCATGCAAGTGTACATGTAGAAACTGAAAAATTCTCGCAACAGCAGCGGTACCGGTGCGATGTCGGTGCGATTCAACCGAATTGACCGGCAATGCACGGGGCGACAGTCATTATCCCGGGACCATTGCTGTATAGAGAAACGTAGAAAGAAGCACTAACCTACGAGCGACAGGCAGGCGTCGGGGGACTGCAACCATTACTCTTCGTCACCTGAGGGTCTTTTGAACTTTGGCCTCCATGTCTGCCCAGGTATCATCCCAACCGATTGGCTCCGTATCCAACCACAGGTCTGGCAGCGAACTAGGCTTGGGGTACGCCCGAGATAGCGCAAGAGTGAACCATCCGTCTTCTACCATGTGTCTCCTCCCAATAGACCTGTGCGATTTACAGTGATAAGCATGTCTACGACCCGTGAAGAGCGATCGTGGTTGATGTGTATGCTCGGCGTAAAGCGGGTGGGTTAGTCCTTTTCCGGTGCAGCATGTACACTTTGTCCGTGCATTAGTACGAGCGATATATCATTATGTTCGTTAACTTCAGCACGTCGGACAATGAGGGTCATTGCCGCAAGAGAAAATGTTGAGGGTGTCAAACCCATCCGTCCTTCTTCCGTGTGGCCCCGGCTGCGAAGTCAAACTGTAGACTGGTACCCAGATGGGACGGAAACATACACAAACACCAGCACATCTCTGCACGGCGGAAACATCAAGGGCAACATGCATGTTAGGTAAGTCCATGCTACAATAGATTTCGCACACAGTCGCAATCCATGGGTGGCTAACGCATCACGATGACCGTGACAAAATATTATCGAGCCCCGTCCTTCCAGCACCAGCGGCCGTGGCTTATTCCTGCAAACCTCATTGCACCATGTACGGGTTTTTCGTCTGCGCTTCCCAATCCTTTAGTCTAGTCTATGTCGAAGACGGGTTTTTCGTCTGCGCTTCCCAATCCTTTAGTCTAGTCTATGTCGAAGACCTGCACAGTCAGCAGTATGTTTGAATCGTGTTTGTCCGCACCATCTTGTTTTTGCCCCAAGTTGATTCCCTCACGCGCTAACCGCATTCCATAATACATGTTAGACTGTACCTGTCAAACCCGTCCACTTGGATGGTGATGTCCCAGGTGTCGTGGGTGTTCCCCTCCGCAGATTTCCAATTTGCGAAGGTGTCATCGCTGCCTCCACTACGCCCGGCCACGGCGTATTGTAGCTCGTATCTGCACACCAACACCAACGCCCGCAAATCAAGCTGGACAAGCACTCCAATCACAAGATTCGAAGTAAATGACTCTTTTGCAATCAGGGTCGACAACAGGAAGGGGAGGAAAAATGCAACTGGTTGGTCTTTCAACATCAACAAGCAGGAAAGTGAAGAAGCAGCATTTATCTCCATACGCTGCATGGCAGACTACCTAGCCCTCACCCCGACTACCGTATACACTTGTGTACTGCAGTACTAATAGTCGACAGCAGTACACTTCAGTAGCGGGACGACGGCACAGCAGTCAGTGTTGGACTCAAAGGATATTGTGAACAGTTTGACGCAACCAAAACAGAGATCCAAAACAGACGCTAGGCCACACAAAGAGTTCCTTGTTGGAAGGCCGCTCACCCGAGGATCTTGGGTGCGGCCCGGTCCGCGACTGTATCCCACCATATCCTCAAACTGCTGGTTGATCCAGGCGTTCCTGCCGATACTTGCGGCTCAGGCGATGCTTGTTGAAAGTCGCCATGATTCGGAGTGATTACTGCCCCCCGTGTTGCGAGAAACGTTGCCATCAGAGCAGTCAGGTACCACGGTTGGGACACGGTCGACTTGGAACTTTGTAACCGGTACGGCATTAAGGCCGACACGGGGTGACAAACCCACCTCATCTTGCTCCGAGAAGGGTTGCAACAAGTACCCGAAAGGACTAGCACTGAGATGTGCTACTCACTACCCTGACATCATGACACGAGAGCTCTATCGTCAGGACACCGATCCTCCCCAAGTCGCCCATCGAAGGACAGAGGCGTCACCAAGCAAGGCACGTCGTGCACACTTGAACGATGCATCCCTGAAGCCTGAAATCACCCGTCGACCCTGTTCTTGCTTCCTGTACACCTGTCGAAGGTTTTGCGTTCTACGGAAAAAAAAAAGTCGTGTTCTCCGTAGATTTCATTGTCGGTCGTAGATTTTCATCGTAGATTTCATCGTAGAAGTCTAGACTATATCTATCTATCTATCCTTATACAAATACAACATCGAATTGTTTTGATTTTCTGCAGCAGAGTGGAGAGACAAAAGAGAAGATCCCGCAAATACTAGACCTCTACAGATTGGTCTAGTCTACCCCTATTGCGTCTGCAGTAACCTTGCTATCAAAGTGCAGACAACTCTTCCACATATGGACCACACCTACCACGAAGAGTTGTGGGTGCACCATCTGGCAGAGTTTGCGAACCAGGCCTGTTTAGTTCATACAAAGCTCGAACAACAGTTCGGACTTCTTTCTTGCACCTCCATTTTGGACAGATCATGATGTCCATAAAGTGCCGCGATACTCCATGCGCAGTACTGAACACCAGTACGGGGGATGTGGGTAGAATCTCACGTCATTATGCGAACGGGAACAGGATTCAGTTGCGCGCAAAATTAACAACCAGAACTAAGGCGCTGCCCGGGGAAACAAAAGTGAAAGATATCCAATGATTCTCAATCGAGTTGAGCGTATAACTTGGAATATCAAAAGTGTGTGAGTGCTTCACCCCTTAACAGCGACAAGAAGCTTCTGCCTCAACGGAAAACTCAAAGAAATGCGAGACACGCACCAATATTGACAGGAAGGAGGGTGGTCGTACACAAACGGCCTTACTGCACAACAATGATACTAACGCTTCGCTACCCAGTCGGTTGCGAAACTCTAGCACTACGCGGTAGGCACGTCAAAATTAAGGTTGCTCACGGAGGAGTCAAATATCTACTGTGGATTGGTCTACTTTGATCTGCCTCACGATATTCAAGAAGGTTACTATACTGCAGGGTGCCTGTCCGATGGCTCCGCTCTAAACCGATCCTAGGAGTCACACGCTGGTTTTTCCTGTTCGTGACGGCTGAGCTATCGGTAGGAATATTCTGCTAGGACGGTGGGCTCGGCGTGACTATAGCACACCGCAACGCCGTAATTCACGCAACGAAGCACTCGTTTGGAGGTGCTAGTCGCAACACAAATGAGCCCAAAGCCGTTGCTACAGCTGATTCATTGCCAACAGGTCCTCCCTCACTATCCCCCCCCCTCTCGCTACGCGTATTGCCGCCTCGTGTGACACCAGCTCCTCGTGCACTACGATCCTTTCATAAACAGACCTGCTACCACGAAAACGGGGCATACATAGGGAAGGGGGCGGGAGTTGGTGAATAAAATAAGTCCCACGAACGTAAAGAACGGTAGTTGTCGACGTTTCACAAGCGGATGTCACACAACAGGAAGGGCCTTAGGAGGATTTCCCCAGCTTCGATTCCGCGATGCTTGCCTTCGGTTGTATCGCGAGAAGGACTGAGCCGTCTCGGAGTGTACGTTGTTTCTTTTGTTTTCTCACGACGTCGGTGCCGTGCCGGCTTATGCATAGTTCTCCACTTGTTCGACACGATGTGAGAAAATCTTTTGGTCGTGTGAGGGCTTGGTGTCTACGGATAAAGGTAAGGTCAAACCAAAACTTTCGGAGACTTTATCGAACTGAGGAGTCCTCACCGCTGTTCCTTTTCTCTGAAGCTCGGCCCTCCATACCAGCGCGACGTGCCAGTACGGCCAGAATTAGCACAGGACCTCGCCGTCGACGCGGCCCTTTCGTTCCTTTCCGCGCTTGACCGCCTGAAGGTTCCAAAAAAGAGACAAACAATGGTTGGTGGGCCGGGCCTCAACCATGATCTCGGGTCATTCCACATCCACTCTACGACCGCGAGAAAACCAGACCCCCGGTTCAAACTATCAACGATACAGGCTGCTCGCGCTCGGCACTGATGGTGGGGTTAGGTCTCCATGTACCTATCACGCCGACCAACAGCTGGTGTTTCTTTCCCTCCTCGACCGGAACTTTTCACCCGGTCATCTACACCCGTAGTCAGCGTAATCACGGATGGAAACACTGGAGCAAGATCGTTTGGTTGTTGATGGCAACCTTGTTCGTTTCTGGGAAGTCGTTCGTTAAGCCTTCGTTCCTGCTGGGAAGGGTAGGGGAACCAATCAGAATAAGCAATGACTACGTTGCTAGCGGCAGGCTCACCTGTACTTCCTCATCAATCGTTCCACCAAGATTTCCATCTTGGGCTTCTTTTCTCTGGTTTCTCTACCGGTCGCGGCGCGAGGATTGGCTTTAACGGCGGCAACGGTGTTTCGCATGGTTTTCATCGACCGGGGAGCTGGACCGCGAATGGAACGAGAGTTCCCTTTGGAAAAATTCTTTCCACGTGCCTTCATCTTTCCGAGAGCTTCGCCAGCCTTCATGCGAGACGTGGAAATCGACTTGACCGCCATCTTTTGGCCCCATATGATGGTTGGTGTGTGCGGGTCGCGGTGGATGGGTTGGGCCGGGGGGGGTAAGGGTAGGGAAATACTTAAAACAGAAAATGTTACGGCCGGAGGGGTTCAGCAGCTCTCCCTCTCATTCGAGACCACGAACGAAGTCATTTGTGCACGCAATAACCATCAACCGCAAATCCTTGAGCACACCACTGTCTCTTGCCGAGATTAGAGATTTTTACCGTCGGAACGTTCATGAAACTAACGACAGAACCGCGCATCCATGCCCGACCACAAACTATACCCGCACCTTGAACTCTGGGAACACTTCGGCGAGAGCCTTGAAATCCGCGGCGTGCATGACCTGCAACTCGGTGAACGCCTCTGCCCTCACGTTCGCCGTCCGGACATGCTCCTGCATTGCGCAGTTGCGATACGCAGTGTGATGGACTCGGACATTGTCTTACCAAGCTCCTGTTTTGTTAAAGAACTCGCGACGCAGCCACATAGCTAAAAAAGCTAGGCCACTAGAGCTCTTGGGGTTGCGAAGCTCGTAAGATATCGCCGCTCGACACATGATAGACCTACCTCCTCGAGCAGAGCCACCTCTCCAAAGAACGACCCGGCGCCCAGCGAGATGATGTACGTCTCCTCCGGGAATTCGTCGTCGCAGTCCTCGGTTTCGGGCACGGTCACTCGCACAGAGCCTCTGCTGATGAAGAACATGCACGTCGCTGGATCTCCCTGCCCAGGGTGGCAAAAACACGCCAGAAGATGTCACCCCCAAAATACCGATACCTCTTGTGTCAATATTATGCAGTATGCGTTTACGTGGTCGTCCGTTCTAGCCGCGATGAAACAACCACACCGAGCACTGTTGCTCGTTTCTGCCTACCACATCAGGCGTTGCTAGCATTCCCCGCACAAACAATGCCCAACGATGAAGCTCATCCTGGATTCGGGTTGTACGTTTGGGGACATGCTGGTTCAGCGCAAAGACTTTCAAGCTTGTTGGTAGGCTCGAGGGATGACTTGGAAATCAAAAGTGGAAGTATTTGGTGGTAATTCTCGCATTGTCTGTGGCCGCCAAAAAGCCTTCGCCGTCAGCATGTAGCGATCGTCTCGCTTGTTGAGGTTCACCTGGCGTACGATTAGTTCTCCCGGGAGAATGATGCTGGGGATCAGGTTCTGAACGAGAGCGATCGTTCCAGACGGCGAAAACGTCTTGAAGAGCGGCACCTGTTATTGCATAGAGCGGGAACATCACCATGGCGGAACGGCATCATTGCTGTTCAGCTCCCTCCGCGAGATATTTTCAGTTGCCTCCGCCCGAATCTGCGCTCGCATCGCCTCCCCGGACTTCAGACCATCGAGACATCGGCTGGGGGGCATGAGCGGGGCGTTTTCCCCCTTGTGCAAATCTAGGCCTAAGCCCGATATATTTCTAACCAAGCGCCCGAATGCTGACGGATCGGCGCCGTAAGCCTTGCGTGCAACAGTGGACGAATCCTACACAGATCTCTGGGTTTCCTATGCAGCGAGCAGCTGGTGTAGCATTCACCTGATCAATGAGGCGTTTCTTGAGCGCAATATTGAGCTGCAGCTTGAGCTTTTCCGGCAGTTCCTCGAAGAGATCCGAGCTATGGCTATCCTGTCCTGATTCCCAAAGATACTCGTAGAACGTTCGGATCCGTTTTTGGAGTCCCTTGGGCACCTGCTTGTTGTTGCCGCATGAGACGTTTCACTTACAAGTAAAATATATTTCCAGGACTGATTACGAGGTGGATACTGTTGGGCAAGACACAAGGGCTATGTCCCTATGTCCCTGGCCTTGTTCGTTTCCTGAACTTCATTCAGACGCTGCCAGGCATCTCACTACAAACCGATGGCCGTATTCCGGGTGGAACGACAACATGAGCGTGTGCTATCATGAACCAACGATTACATTTTCTCAAACTCTGTTCTATAAGGTAAAGACAGAGGAAGGGTACATGTAAAAAAGGGTTTAAATCGTTGTGTTCTTTCCCTCGTGTTGTTGTCACAACAGAACGCAACAGTAGCCATGAGATAGCAGGTAAAACCCGCCATGGTCGTTCGACGGCACTGTACTTCTTCATTTGGCCACTGTTTCCAAGGCTCACCAGCTTTCGTATCAGGTGGCATGAACTTTTTCAAGAGGCAGATGAAGTTTCCTTCCGAATGCCCGTCGTTTCCCACGTTCACAAACACCAGGATGGAAAGGTCAAGAAACGACCGACCGCCCTCAGCATTTACGAAACGACCCACCCTAGCCCCAACGTTACCGCGATTCCCGCCAAAATCGTTTTTCAAGACAAGAGGATACCACCCCGCCGTCTGGAAACACACGCACCCGATTGTCTCGTTAATTCGCGAAACCCCAGCCAACGTTCGCCAAATCAGAAGGAAGAAGCGAACGCTCCTCCCTTCGGAAAGGAATGTGACCGTTTCCCCCACACACGTGCGGCTGAAACTCAACCACCAAACGTTATTCTACATTGACAAGCAGACCGCCGCCTCGCCTTTCGAAACCGCATGTAGCCGTTTATCCCGTCCATCTGCGTCTTCTTGGCAACGGCTCCGGCATCCATGTTTGACAGTAGGTTTGTGGCGCTCCCGATGATGACGGCGTTGGTCAGCAGAGCAAGAGTCAGGCAGATGTTGGAGAACACATACTCCACGTCATTCTCCGGCTCTTTAAAAAACGTTCGTTTCGTGAAGGGAGTTCCGGGGGATGGGCCGGTGTGCCACCAGCACCACACGCGCGATTTAGAAGCGAGGTACTCAACGATAGTTGCACAAGACAAGAAATCTCCGAAACCACTGCCAGAATATCTGGCATACGGGCACATGTGAAAAATCGGCCAAGCAGAGAGTTCATAACCGACTCAATCTTTTTCGTGCAGCGGAGCATGATCAACAATGCGAACAACACTCCGAAGTCCCTGGGAGGGAGGGAAGGAGGTGCACGACACGTTGTTCGAGAGGATGTGATGCATGCCTCCGAGATATCGTCGTTAGTGACACGACAATCAGCAACAATCCACGTGATTGACGCCCCGCAGGCTTCGACATGGAGTAGTCTTCCAACCATGTGTTGATCGTGGGGGTTTCATATGAGTTCATTCCAATACTATTCATTCCCACAGCCATAATCAAACCTTTGAAAACGCTCAAAACGTTCCCCATGTGATGTCCGACAGTTTGTAATAGTTTTTCCCATGTCGTGTTCGGTTGTTGGCCAGCATATATCCCGTACAGGGCAGGACCCCAAGCTTATGCTGTTGCTCGATGTGCACCTGAACTACAGCCGTATCCTAGGCACAGAAATCAACGCGCCAATATTTGTCCCTCACTTAAGTCATTTCCGTAGGTGATGACGAGGGAGAAGTACAGAGCACGGGTATACTTTTCGAACAAGCCGGCGTCCAGGTACTCCTGCTCCGGGACCCAAACCCCCTCGAACTCTGGGTCCGTTGTTCTGCGAACGTGGATGGTTGGAGTTCCACGGTGCTTGTCATTACCACTTTATATTCACTATTGAAGCACCGGGGAGTTGACAATACGACGCTACCTAAACGGTCTACGTTTGTTGTTGTACCCTATCCATCCCGTCACGGTCCCGAATACTGTTTCTTGTGCAACAGTTCGCCTTTGTGAACTGACGCTGTCACGTGTCTCGGGGTTTGTCCTGCAAATAAAACGAAACAACATTTCCCCGTCGGTATAGAATGTGGCGTGCCTGCCGACCCGTCCTGGTTTTTCTGCGTTCGTCTTGCCTCACATGACAAACCGAAACGAACCATAAGCTGCATGTACAGTGTCTCACTCTGGGAACACCCCATTTATCCTGTTGTCGTTCGCAGTCTTTCGGGGCGGACTAGTATCACGCTCTGATATAGTCACCGCCATTCACTTGCCATCAGAGCTACTGTTCGGAAGTTTCAAGAGGGTGGGGAAGGATTTGGCTGGTGTGTATTCGTAATATTCCTCACCTGGACACAAACCAATAGCCGCAGGCAATAAAGTGCACCACTAGCACAAACGTGAAGACGAACATGTAGATGCGGAACATCTTCGATACGCAGCGAGTGTGTGTGTGTGAGAGAGAGAGAGAGAGAGAGAGAGAGAGAGAGAGAGAGAGAGAGAGAGCATGGACGTCGGCAAACAGAGGCCAACAGACGGGCGGAGAAAAGGACTGGGCGTATTCACGCGAAATCGATGTCAAATTTCCAGCTACTGTGTGGCGATACTACCGTCGTTTTCCAACCACACAAAACACAACCCATTCGTTTCGTAGCGGTAAAATCTCCAGCTCTCGATGAGAATGAAAGCCATTGCACTCGTCGTCGTTAGTATCACTAGTGTATTGAAATAGTGCTACGTTCGGTTCATGCGCAATAACTTGTCCAACACCTTCCAAGCACGCTGTGGCCCTCCTACTACAGTATGTCCTAGACAAGCCGAGCAAGGTCGAGCACGATTTGAGTCGTCCAATATGAAGCTCCGCGCTCAACAAGTCTATGAAAGGATCCGATACCTGATGTCGTCGTTTGCTTACACCCCTCTCATTTTTATTGATCTCTCCTCCTCCCTCGCCCCCCCCGGTGTTTACCATCGGGGTTGGGTTTTCGTCGCTTGGCAACGACGTTGTAAAACAAGCCGCCCCCCCCCGGTGTTTGCCATCGGGATTGGGTTTTCGTCGCTTGCCAACGACGTTGTAAATCAAGCCAATTCACTTCGTGAGCTCGGCAACCAGGTAACCGGTTTTTTTTTTCCTCCGTTCTTTTTTTGGCGGTAGCCATTACGGTGGTCGAGTGGATCATGGTGTGCGGGGTCGAGAACCCTCACTCCGCGCAAGGGGGATGATCGCACCACGTTGTGTTAAATTGGTCAAGCACCCTCGAGGCAGTTGCACAGTGCATATAACTGTCTCTGGAAGTGAAAGCACCAGAAAATACATTTAGTCATACGCAGCTGTCATCCGTACGCAAGGAAGGAAGTACAAGATGCCGAACACCCTTTGCAGGATGCAGCGCACTCTGCGACTCGCCGAATATATCACGACGCTTCGCGCTTGGTGATGTGAGAGCTTGGTCCGGTGGAGACCCGGCGCGCTCCGTCCCGGCTATGTAGGGATACGAGGTCAATGGCCTAACGACTACGGCATGCACGACTATGAGTACACCCCTCCCCCTCCCCCCTCTCTCCCCCCTCTGTGACGGACGAGATCCAGCGATAAAACCAATCCGCCCCAAAACATTCAACAAAAACAGAAGTTCGCAACGTGCACGAGTGTCATACGATCTCTCACCGAAGGATTGAAATCCCTGTCCTCGAACAGCTGCAGAACCGCAGTCGATATCACCGAGAGCTGGTGGAGCTTCAGCGTTCGCAACTGGGTCATATTGGTTAAACAACCCAGCGAACGAATGTTGTCGACAAACGCCGCACCGCCGAACAGCAGCTTGACACGTTCAAACATCTCGCAAACGTTGGATGAGAAGGTCGGTGGGGTGCGCCAACCAACCATCATACGCACTGCCGGTCATCAATCAACGTCTCAGAAAATATCCTCGTAGCGCCTTGAACTTCGATTTGAACGGAGGGTTTGCCCAGCGAACGTCGGGGTTGGGACCGAGAAAGCGTCGATGGATGTAGTACAGCGGGGTGCCAATCCGTAGTTTTGCTTGTGTTCCACGTCATACTTCGATGTTTCCTATATGACTTCCACGTAAGAGTTTCAAATGGTCATCGCCCAGAAGAGTTCCTTGCACGGGCATGCCCCAGCAAAGGGAAGTATCCTCAACTACTCTAACCGATTGGTTGTGTCGCGCGATATCCTCGGGGTTCCGTTCCGTAGCTCAGCAGACGACCATCATCGGCGTGAGCCAAAAGTATACGAGGAAATTGCGTGGAGGCTGGCTGCGAAAAACTCGTTTGTGTGAACGCTAATGTCAGATGAACAGGGGAAGGGCGGTGGGGGAGGCGGGGCCCAACCGCGGACTCACCAACTTGAGCATGTAGAAGAAGGTCTCCTGGCCGGTGACGTCCACAGTATGGGCTATCAACGCTACCGGCAGCGAGCTTGCCACATCCAGGACGAACCAACCCTTCAGATATCTTTTTTTCGGGAGGTGTTGCGCAAAGCGAACATGTGGCGGAAACGGATTGTGCAGTGACGCATGCGCGCGTGCACGCGGGTCAACAACTTGTACAGCATGCAGTATGGGGTGGGGGCGCAAGTAGTGCTCCTTAGGTGCATGGTCCGAAGTATCTCGAGGTTCAAGCCTTTGACTGGCATGATAAGTATGGGCTAGGGCGGTGGAGAGATTTATCTATCACAACCCCTCGATGGGGGCGAGATATTTAGCTACTCTCTGCTCGCAACAAGGGTTGCGTTTCATTGCTAACCGTTGCTGTCACTCGTGTACTGAGCGTTGTGGGAAGAAGAGAGATAGCGGGCTGAGACCGGTCGTGGCGCAGTCAACTCAGCTTGAACAACATAAAAAATATTGTATCGGTGCCCGTTACCATCCATGAAGACGATCACTGGAGTCTTGCGTCGTTTGTAGTCCGCAGTGAAATAAGTGGTGTATTGGATTCGTCGGGGAATGATATATGACATCGCAAATAAATACAAACGTGAAACTCACGAAAGAGGTAAAACATCATCAAGGCAGTACCTAACGAAAAGTCAAGAGAATGAAGCAGAAACGTTGAAACGTTCCCATGAAACCTTTCCTCGCTCGCCCTCTTTCTCCCTTTCTTTCTCTCTGTCTCTCTGTCTCTCTGTCTCGCTCTCTCTCTCTCTCTCTCTCTCTCTCTCTCTCTCTCTCTCCCTCAACACACGCACACGGAGCTCTGCACTAATTCTAGCCCAGACGCAGACCAAACAGGGGAGACCATCATTTTTCCGCCCTTGCCTTGCCGATATCTCTCGGACATCTGTGATGGTTTCCTTGGTTTCAGTATCCATCACCGTAGTACGGAAGGTAATTCCAATATGGAAGATGAAAGCAAAATCGACCAGCACCTCGATAACCAGAAGAGCTCCTCGAGAGGCAATGTCAAATCCTGACCATTGGGACGGCCGCGGAGAAGCGGGTAGGGAAAGGGGGTGTCGATCACTAGCAGCGCGGCTTCGATACGACCCTCTCGACAGTCAATCGTGGAATGTGGGATAGTACGGACAATGAAACGCACGATCTGGTACATTGAGAAAAACCGTGCCCAGGCTCTGAAAGAAAACATCTTGAGAAGCCCAGGAGCACCACACTCCGCTTGCTATCAAACGTTTTCACGCAGTGCAACCCTGGATCTGATTCGACGCGGGTACAACGAGACACGACGAGATCTCGAGAGAACCATTTGCATCTAGAACCTGCTGACGAACGAACGTCATGCGAGGTGCCGCCCAAGGTGGTTGGTCCTGCGCCTCCCTACAATTGTCCGTGTTGTTCAAGGCCGAACAGCTATTCCTCGTCTTATTTCGAAGACCGAAGGCCCTGTCTTTCTTCCAGGTCAACCCTTGGCATTCCATGCTAACAGTCCTATGGATATCAATCAAACTACGCCCGCCCTTGGGCACAAGTACGACGTTGGAGACGAGTGTTGCACAGTACACGAAGGCTTGCTATTTCAAGTTGTGTCTTAATCATATAACCGCCAGCAACCCGTGCCAACCAAGTCTTCAGGACATGAAGCGATCATCCTCGGGTCAATTGTAGGTGTATCTGGTGTCGAATGCTCTAGTTCATCGAAACGGGAAAAGGTTGAGCAAACAGAACCATATGACGGGATGCATCGGATGCCGAAGAAGGGAATAGCGAGGAACAGCAAGAGCAGGGCAAGAGCAAGCACAAGGACAAGGACGAGGGCGAAAACCAGAGGGTCCAGGCCAACAAGACCACCAAGAACGAAAGGAAAGCTACGACAGGAGCAACAACAATAATACTTTGCCTCACCAATCTTCAAGGGATTGACGAAGGACGAGAATATGATCAAGATCATCATGACAATGTCCCACGCCAGCTTTGCGGTAGATTCGTGCTGCAGAAGGAAGCGGGTCACCTCCCCGACGTCTTCGTGAGCGGATATCTGTATCGCGACAGCGTTTCCAGGTTCGCAGCGAATACGCCAACAGGTCAGTTCGCTGTTGAGGATGAAAGAAGTAATCAACATAGAGCAGACCTTGGTGGATCGATCTGGTTCTCAATGACAACGGACAGATACATCTGGGCTTGGTTGGTATGCCAAGGTGGGGGCTGTGAGCGGTGTGAACGAATCGAATAACACAACAAGCGCAACGTCTAGCGTCCATTCCTCCGGATTCCCCTCTGTTTTGCTGCTGAAACAAACAATTGACAATTTAGCTACACCTATGTAGAGAACAAGCTGCAAAAAACGTTTGGTGGACACGTTAAATACGGTTCCTTTCTTCAGAAGGCGTACGAAAAGGAGCCAATGTTGATTCGTACAGGTGCCGTTGACGTGCGACTTCAGGGCTTCACCGCACCGTTGACAGAGAGTTGATTTCTGCGGAAATGTCTTGGCCGTGCTCCTCGGCGTAGGACGCTACGTGCGGCTTCGTTAAACCAGGAAGCATGGCCACGGTCTGCAGCTTGAGATGAGCCTGCTTATCTCGTCCTTCTGGCCCGCCCCTACCTTCTCCCCTCGCATCTGCCATCTCATACGCTTTGCCACGGCCGATTGCGCCCGACACCTGCAATGACACTCCTTTCGACAACATTGCTGAAGCAACAGCGTCAGCCTTTGCGTCAACAAATTTTTCCTTCCCGCCGGGGGATGGTACCACTGCTGCTGCCGCTTGCTCCAATGAAGATGGTCCTGGTGACGAGACTATTGTGGTGGGCTTCAGCGCCGAGTTCCCCGCAGCGCCAACCGGTGGTAAACTGTGTTGGTCCCTCCCCCAACCACGTGCAACCACCTCTGGTAGGGGAGAGCCCATACGGTGTCCATCGCCGATCGAGCCCCCCCGTGTGGAATGGTCAGCCTCCCGTTGATACCGTTCTAGTGGCGTGGCCGTAGATGCCAAGCTAGATAGCGATACCCCAGCTCCACTCGCTGTTGGCATCCCCAGCCCAAGCCCTGTCTCCGATGCGTTCCCATCGGCTGTGTCCAGTTCTGAGAGGAACTCGCTGGCTCTCCAAGAAGCCAGGGGGGATTGAGGGCGGGATGGCAATCCGGTGCTGCCCTCCATAGAGCTTAAAAGTCTTTCGAGCGAACGCGAGCTCCTTCTCTCCCTTGTGAGATCATCGCTATCTCCAGTGGGAATAACTGTCGTGGGGACTATCTTGGAAGACATGGCGTACAAGGCGTGCGGCTGCCGACGTCTGGGCGAAGATCGCAAAGGCCTTCTTCAAGAACTGGAAAGGCAGTAGAAACAGGTGCACGGTACCACGTTATCGGAGAATTGCACCTCTTCAACTACAGCTACAGTATAGGACCTACCATATTGTAGTAGCAGAGCTTTCTCTCTACAGTATGTGCCTTCGAATCACAGTTCAGTTGCAAGCAATGGCACGGAAAACAGCAAGGCAGTCAGCCATTTCGAAATATAGTCTAACGAGGGAACTAGCGAAAGATGCATATTTTTCTACTTAATCCGCCCATGGGCACCACGTAGGGCCCATGGGCGCCAATGAGGGAACCAGCGTGCTGCTAAACGTTTTTTTTTTTACAGAACGCGCCACCACGTAAGAACTAAGGAGTTCAGAACTTGAGCCTCAAATAATCCAAAATATAAGAACTTCGTCATAAGAACAGGTGCTCAGTTTCGACGTGGCCTTAAGAACAAGAACCCGCCCTCATGGTACGCCAATGCGCACACAGATAAGAACGGAGCCCCAAAACGCGGCGGCTGCAAGAAAATAACTCAGGAAGGTTGGGGGTGACACAAATAGCAGTTTGTTCCAGATTCGAGGCGGCGAGGGGCAAAGGACCTCGTGATAAAATGATTGTACGCCTGACGCGCGGAGGAGGAGGGCGTACTCTCTCTCATGTTTCGCATGCCTTAGAGGTTAGACCATTGACCACACGTCCTCGCGAGGACGCAGAATTGTGCCCACAGGACCGATCACCGATGGCCAATCATTCCTTTCTATATACTTCAAAGCACTTTGCCAAAGGTGGCTCAATAACGTCTTCCCTAGTCTATCTCGATACCAATTCCCGCCTTTCAACCCACTTGCTATGCCCCAGTACAGCTACCGTCTTCTCCTGGCTACTCCATGCCTCAAGCATACCCCCGTAACTTTCCTTTCACGTGTCCAACTCAGTCATGTACATTTCTCCAACCTTGCAGCCCAACACGGACGTTTCGCAGCGACATGAACCCGGTCTTCGCACTCGGAGCCGCATGCACATTTATTTGAACTTGTCGTCTTCTTTGTCTTCCTTCTCGAATCTTCGTCAACGTTCTCAAAGGTTGCTGTCCCCAGTCCTGATTTTTCCTTCGGATTTGTTCCTTCATCCATTGGTCTGTGAAGGTACCTATTCCTTCTTTCAACATCCGTACACCTCTAGACCCTCCTTATCCTTGGATCCTTTTGTNCTTCGGATTTGTTCCTTCATCCATTGGTCTGTGAAGGTACCTATTCCTTCTTTCAACATCCGTACACCTCTAGACCCTCCTTATCCTTGGATCCTTTTGTTAGATTGTGTTCTCTCTCGGCAAAGTAGCAGATTTCTTGTTCTCGAACCCCTATAGACCTAAACCGTCCGTTTCCAATGTATCAACCTCATCGATTTTGAACCACTCCATACGTCATCTACAACCTTAATCCACTCCCTGGGTCGTTTACCCCTAATGTTGTTTGTCCTCTTCGCCTCCCGAGCTTCTCTCGAGAACCTCTCCTCTCCCATATCGTACACCATACGGTACTTCTTGCCAGTTAGCTCCCTTTGACGCCTCTTCCCGATCGTGGGAGTTGGATCCGACGGGGGGGCGTGCTCTCTCTCTCTCTCTCTCTCTCTCTCTCTCTCTCTCTCTCTCTCTCTCTCTCTCTCATGTTTTGGATGCCATAGCGGTTAGACCATTGATCATGCGTCCTCGACAGGATGCAGCATTGTTCCCAGAGGACCGATCACCGATGGCCAATCGTTCGACCCTACTTTCCCAAAAAGGTGGCTCAAAAATGTTTTCCCCAGACTATCTATCCTATCGATATCAGTTCCCACCGTTTCAACCCTTTTCCTATGCCCCAGTACAGCTACCGTCTTCTCCTGACTATTCCATGCCTCAACCATGCCTCTTACCTTTTCCTTGTACTATTCCCAGCTCACTCATGTGCGTTTCCCTCTCCTTCTTGTACAACGGACACTCCGCAACTACATGAACATGGTCTTCGCATTCGGAGCCGCATTCGAATGTAGATTGTCGTCGTCATCGTCTACGTTCCCAAGTCTTCGGGTAAGTTCTCGAAGGCAAATGTCCCCAGTCCTAAATTTGACTTTCAGCTTTGTCCCTATATCCATTGGTCCATGAAAAAGGTATCCCATGAAGATCCGTTCCTTCTTTCAACATTGCGTACACATGTAGATCCTCCTTATATTTTGGTGTCTTTGGTTAGGTTATGTTATCTCTCAGCAAAAGCAACAGATATCTTCTCCTTGAACCCTGTAGACCTTACGTTTCCAGTGTATGACCTCCGTCAATTTCGAACCCCTTCCATGCGTCATCTATAACACTATCTAACCCGAACTCCATAGGTTGGTGTACCCATTCTTCTTGTTTGCCCACTTCGCCTCCTAAGCTGTTCTCGGGAACTTCTCCTCTCCCACACCATACATGCAGATATGCGGTACTAGGGGGGGATTATACGACTACATTGTACACTTGCATCAGTAGTGTCTCGTGATGAAATCCACCCAGAAAGCCCTGTGTCCTCTGCATGGGGCAATGTGGTGCGAAGTAGGCCCGTTTCAGGGGCTGTTTGGAACTTGTTCCCGTTTTATGGTGTGTTGGCGTTAAGATGTGGCGTAGTTTGCTATTCTCCGAGATGACGTGTGTGTTTGCATCAAGTAGGCTCTGTGTCAGCCCCACGAGTTCAGAGAAGAGAGAGCTAACCGGGCAAGGGCAAGGGTCAAGTGGGCATGTGTTGAGTACCAGTTCGACTGCAGCGATCTAGGCAAAGGTTGCCTTCAGCATGTGTGTGCGTGGATAGGTTGAACAGCAACAGCAGTGTTGGTATGCAGCTGTGTTGAGTGCGGCAGCCACCGAAAGACGAATCAACAAGTTCCTCAACAGCTATCTGTCCATTCCCTTCCTCGACGACATCCGCAAAGACAATCAAGCAGCCATAAGATCTCGAACCTAGCGCAGAACCCTGGTAATGCAGGGCCGCATTGCTCTGCATTTGATTGGATAGTTAGGGCATCAACAGAACCCGAATACCAAGTATAACANTGTGCGTGGATAGGTTGAACAGCAACAGCAGTGTTGGTATGCAGCTGTGTTGAGTGCGGCAGCCACCGAAAGACGAATCAACAAGTTCCTCAACAGCTATCTGTCCATTCCCTTCCTCGACGACATCCGCAAAGACAATCAAGCAGCCATAAGATCTCGAACCTAGCGCAGAACCCTGGTAATGCAGGGCCGCATTGCTCTGCATTTGATTGGATAGTTAGGGCATCAACAGAACCCGAATACCAAGTATAACATGGCGTCCTCGGCGCTTGTTTCTTCCCTGGGTGCGAGATCGGTTGCGTTGTTGGTTGTTTTTGGCTGTTGGTATAAAGTACCGCTGCAGTCTTTTGGGTCTGCGGCATGGCCATGTGTACTCGCAATTCGGTTGTTTCCGGCTACGCGACTTGTCGCGTGCCAGTTTCGCATTCTGGTAGGCCCTTTTCCTCGGGCACGCCCATTGCCCGTCTCTCTTCTCCCACGCCTACCGAATCTCCTGGGATTGGCCCGTCCGGGTCGTCACGGGGAATTTACCCATCTTGCCGGTTGCTGTACGACTCTTCGCCACGTGCGTCGTCTCCACGCTGTCGGTCATCCCGCTGGTGCACAGCTCGGTGCTGTCGCCGCAGTCCGTCCTGCTGCCGTGCGCCGTGCACGCGAGGAGATTGATACCGCTCTCTCCATACGAGGACGTGTATCCGCCGGCGTTCGGGCCGTTCCGCGATCCGATGCCGAGATCGTAGGTGAGACACCCTTCTTACTCTGGAAAATTGGAAGTCGACACCGAGAGTTTCCGCCTCTTGGTGACGGAATCGTCAGAACCTTACGGTGGTGGGGACGGGCGGAAGCCGTCGCTACCGCCGTCCGACACGTCCGGTGATTTCCGACGTTTTTACTGCTGAGAGGGGCGGGGGACCGTTCACTCTAGTTCCCCACCTACATTGTCGGATAGTAGTAAAACACCGGCGACGCTACCAGGTTGTGTAGCACCGAAACCCGAGCCGACTCCGAAACCCGAACCGACTCCGAGTCCGACAGACCGAGCGCGCCTTCCGAGGTTGAGTGTAACTAGCTTGGCCGAACAGGCCTTGTGTCCTGGAGTCGTAGGCGATAGAGAAGAGGGGGCTGTCCGCTTGATCCGTGGAATCCCAGCTTGCCCTTTGACCCAGAATCCTGCGGCTCGAAACCCACCCGAAACCCGATCCGAAACCGAAAACCGAACCGAAACTAGTATAGAAAATCACGGGACGTTAGCTGCCGCGAGAAAACCGGCGTTCGACACAACGCCTGCTGTTGTAAGCTCATATCCCCGGGGAAGTTACTGTTTGGCGAAGCGGGCGTTCCCCGAGTGGACGATGCTTCCAGTGATTGCCGAAATCCCTACAAATCGGTTGCGCGACAACGGTGTAGACGACGAGAAGAGTTGTTCCCTGCCGTCGGCTTCCCCGTTGGCCGATCTTCAAGATAGTGACGCAAGCAGCGCCGTGCTTGCGATAGCTTTTGAAGGCTAGCCGCCTGCATCTCTGTCGGCAGTCCCCAATCTCAACGGTCGGACGAATATACGCCTACTCTCGCCGAACAACGATGACTGATCCAACGAACACAAATGAAAAAAAAGTCGTAGCGCGAGTTCTGCCGTGTGTGTTGAGGGTTCGCCCCCTTTGTCTGGTTGAAAAAAACATCGTCCAAGGTCTAGTCGAGCAGTAGCGGGACGCGATCTGACTGAATTTCTCGCCGAGCGTCAGGCATTTCCATTAGTTTTTGACAGATTTGTTCTTACGCGCTGCATGTATTCACAGACCCAGCCCCGTTATTCTATCTCCGCGGACGAAGTGCAGCGAGAGCTTGACGTGCAGCGGGCATAGCCGATTGCTATCACCGGTCACCGTATCAGTAGAATTCCAAGGGGTTCCATCGCGGTACAATACACAACGTGTTGGCGCAGACATCGCCAGCCCACTTGGGAATCCGCACCAAACATCCAGCAGTGTGGTGATTTTGTGGACAAGTATTGGGTGGGCAGAGCAGTACGTCAAGTAGGAGCCGAAAACAAAGTGCACTGTGACCATAATAAGCTTGACGTGCTCCGCGCGCAAGCTCGCTCCCGTAATTCCCTTTGTGTGCCACCAGGTTACGCACTACTGGCTACATGGTAGCGTGGTTCGGCCTTGCTACCAGCGGACATGAAAGGAGCGAGTGTTTTCGTGCGGTCGAAGGAGGAAGGCTGGCAGCTGGGGGTAATGCCTCGGGTTTCGAGGGCGCGGGAGGAGGACCTGCCGTGCAACGTCCAATTCGTCGACCTCGAGCGGCGTTTCAACGTGTCACCGTCGCCGGCGAAATATTGTACGGCGGTGGATGGTCCGCCTGGCTCATGGTGCTTTCTTGTGCACATGCGGTCCTGGCGCGTCCGGCGGACGGGGACCTGACGGGTGCGCTGAGGTGGAGGTTTCGCCGTGGTGGTCGGGGAGCACTGCGGTGGAGAATTTTCGTGGAGGAAGAGGCGAGCACGTCGGCGCCTTGCGGGATTTCAAGGTGGAAGGGGAGAGCGAGACGGCGCTTCGTACGACAGCAGACGACCCCGTCGGCGCTTCGAGTACCTTCAAACGACCCCGTCGGCGCTTTCCGTAACTTCTAACGACCTCGCTGTCGCCCTTCGATTTCTTTTTGCTTGTGGTTGTGTGTGTGTGCCGGATTTTTTGCACTTGGCGGTGCCTTCTAATGTCGAGGATGTTTTTTTTTTTCCGGTGTGGTGTGTCGGCTGTTCCTGTTTGGTTCTGCGCCGTTGTGGAGATGTGCCGTCCTTTTTCGGGGGGATGGGGGAGGGGCACAGGCCTTAAAAAAATATCCTGTGTTCGGTAGAAACTGAGTTATTGCTGAAAAAATGGTGGGCTGTCCCGCCTCGAACGGTTCTGGTTCAATTTGTTGGTTTGTTGGTACCGTGGTCATTTGCGGGTGCGAATGCCCGGGAGTGTTTGCGTCCTCGAAAAGAAGGTCGTCGTGCTTCACTTCCAGGATAGGGGGTCAATGTTTCGTTGTGGTTCCACCGATTTTGGGCAGAAAGCTTTTGAAGCTCTTCCAACGCGATGATATCGTTCTTATGGTTCTCATTCTTCGGTGAACTTTGGAGTTCCAGGGTAGGCAATACAGCAAGGTTCGTTGGCTTTTCTTTTTCCCCTAGGACCGCCAAGGGTCTGCTATCCCGTGGTACTAAATACCCCGCAAGGCGGCTGAAGCTGAAAATATGCTGTGTCTATGTCAAAGTGCTGTTGTCCTTGTCAATGTGCTGTGTATATGTGAAAAAATCAGCTTCAGCTTCACCCTTGCGTTGGGAGAGTGCGCGTATATCAGACACGCGTGGGGAGAAAATTGGTCAAAGGATCGTTGATGTATGTGTCTCGGGTGGATTCAAAGTTTCATAGAGCTGGGGTGTGAGTGACAAAACAACGTGAAGCGATTGATTTAGTTGTTGGGAGTCCTTTGGGGGGTCGGTGTGCACCGTCGGGTAGCGCCGATTTCAACTGTCAAATGTCCGATCGATGGGGGTCACAGGGGTTCGTTGCCGCCTTTTTTAGGCGTGAGTACGGCACCTTTCTTGTAGGGAACAACGTTGCTCTTGTTCGGCAGCGTCTGTAGTGGTCAGGTATTAGCAAGTCAGGTAGAGATTTTGGGCCGGGATTTTTTGGGGTTGGTGCCGGTTGTCGTTTCCAAAACACGGCCGCGCGGCACGGGGTAAAATGGATTCTTGACGACAGACGGTAGGATTTGTGTGAGGGTACTTGGGCCCGAGGGGATGAAATGCTGAGGGCTTGTGTTGTGACTGTAAACGAGTTCCCGCTTAGGATGGAGCGAATTCCATGGGGTTTTGAATATTGTTGTCTTGCCACAGCGGTCGAGACGGATAAATGTTTATGTTTGGAATTTTGTTGAAGGTTTAGAGCGATGCAAGCGAGACTATACCAGTTTCAGAATAGAAACAGTACTGGACGCCGGTTTCTCTTGAGGAATTCACGATGTTTTTGTATTGCTTTTTGGAGGTATCAGAATTTTTCCCAATATGCCAAAAAGCAGTGTGGGGGAAGGTGGTGTGAAGTAGGCCCGTTTCAGGGGCTGTTTGGACCTTCCCCGTTTTATGGTGTGTTGGCGTTAAGATGCGGCGTAGTTTGCTATTCTCCGAGATGACGTGTGTGTTTGCATCAAGTAGGGTGCCCCACGAGTTCAGAGAAGAGAGAACTAACCGGGCAAGGGCAAAGGTCAAGTGGGCATGTGTTTAGTACCAGTTCGACTGCAGAGATCTAGGTAAAGGTTGACTTCAGCATGTGTGTGCGCGGATATGTTGAACAGCAACAGCAGTTTTTTTTGTTTGTTTTGTTTGTTTTTCTCCCATCATTGGACTCTGTCGTCTGCCCCTCTGGCCCCTATCCTCCACTTCTACTAGCTAGACGACCCAACTGGGGTCACATAGGAGGGGGGGGTTGGACCCCCTCCTGCGGTTCATGCCTGAGGTATTTTTATCGCGAGAAGGGTACAGCAATCCCTTCCCTCGCGACATACGAAGTCGATTATGGTTTACTAACAAACGAGCTTTGCAGCGCGTCGCTTTCATCCTAGACCAGGATTTTTTTAGTGAGAAAAACGCTCACTCTGCCGGGACTAAACCCATGACCTGGTCCTTAGTAGGCTGCGAGGCTACCCACTAGACCACCGGGGCGACCGTGCGGTGTTGGTATGCAGCTGTGTTGAGTGCAGCAGCCACCGAGAGACGAATCAACAAGTTCCTCAACAGCTATCTGTCCATTCCCTTCCTCGACGACATCCGCAAAGACAATCAAGCAGCCATAAGACCTCGAACCTAGCGCAGAACCCTGGTAATGCAGAGCCGCACTGCTCTGCATTTAATTGGATAATTAGGTCATCAACAGAACGCGAATACCAAGTATAGTCTAACAGGAATCGGTCAACATGGAAATAAGCAAATAACCTCGTTTGCTCGTTTGTCATAGGTGGATGCCTGCCCCTAATAAGAACTTGGCAAATAAGAACATGCGCTCGGTTGGAAGCAATCACTAAGCGTCGAGCCTTAACCTAAATAAGCGGTTCTGTAAGTGGTGGCGCGTTCTGTACTGCCGTTGTACGTTGTACGTAACCTGTCTGTGTAGAAATGTAGTCTAGACTTGTCTAGTAGATACATAGGAGATGTGTCGGCTTGCGTTCCGCATTTTCACATTTCGAGGTAGTCACAAACGAACTTTCGAATTTCGCACTCTGCCGCATTTCGCACTCTGCTGGACGATTCCGGTCAACTCCCGCAATGTCCATGTTGCCCATGGCCGAATCTTCACTCTGTCAACTGTAAACGAGAGAGGGATGGGGGCAGAGATTATACCCGCCACCATTTGCTTTGGAGGTACGTACCGAGTCGACAACGGCGTTTGTCGGTACATCCAAACAACGCAGCCAAGACCAAGAGCGGTAGTGCATCCAACACCAGGCCCTCACCACCACAGAGCGCTCTCCTTCATTCGGCCCGAGTACTCGCCTACGCGCGACCGCTGTGCTGCTTCCTTGGGGCAAGTACTGGCGAGATACACATGTAGACGTTAGTGTTCAACCAATCACAGTCAACTGCAACGACCACCCACGGTTTCATGATTTTTCAATCACGGCGCCCCCTCTTTGCCATAGTATGTTGTGGTAAATCATGTGGCCTCATCTATGTGCCCCCCGGCTTCACGCGAGTTACTCTCTCCTTCTTGCACCATTGCACATCCTGCATCGGATTTCGATAGGCAGCAGGCGGCGGTCAGAGGACGCACAGAAAAGAAAACATGATGCCAAGCACGCTGCTCGCGGCCACCGCAATGCTCGGAGCGTGCAGCCGGACGGCGGCGTTCGTGGGGACGCTTGGTGCGGTTGGCCGGCAAAGCTCCAGCAGGGTAGCGGCGGGATCAGCAGGTATTGTTTTTTGGTGTGTGCGTACAATATAATAGGAGCGGGACACGGAGGCGGTGAAGGGATTTGCATGGCCCCTGTATCCTCGGCAACAGCATTGCACTGCTATCACGCCGCACGCGGTCGTTATAGCACAGAGAGTTGCCGCTCTGCGTGCGGGTGGAGGTTGGATTATTCGCTGTTGCCGTGCATCGAAAAACGCTGCCGCGGGCGCATGTTCACACGCGGCGGCAGCGAGGGTGTGCAGCAGGCTGCGGTTTGAGCCGTTGAGACGCATGATGAGATAGATCACAGCGGTTGTTCGCTACACAGCATGTCTTGCACCAAAGGCGGAGCTGAGCTTGCCGTTGCTGCTGTTGCCGCTGTCGACATGTTCGGGGTGGCCCTAACAGGGTAATGATGGTCGATCCAGGCTGAGAGGCGATTTCCCTGCTTGGTAGCACGGGTGCTAAATTGGCATGTACATACCGCTGTTGTGCGCTCTTGCACAAAGGATCTTTGACCAACCACGCAGAGGGTCTGGGGCTATGATCCTCGGGCAAAGGGATTCTCCCTCTGGAAGAAAGAACTGCTGGCTACTGTGCTTCGAGCACGATTCGCTCACAGAACGCTTCTTGGAAAGGACACGCGAAGCAGGAATTAGCCGAGAGCGCTGCTGAGGGAACAGCGCGACCAGACCCCGCTGGCGCGGTACAGCAGTAAAAATAGTCAATGTGTCCATGTGCAATCCAGCCTCGACTCGTGTACAGGCCGCGGGTGACTCGCGGGATGTAGGGGCACGTTGTAGGCTACACAGCTTCTGGAAGGGGACTGATTTGGTCTTGAGAGGCGTTCTGAGGCAGCCTCACAAATGTTGTCGGTGGTTTCACCTGTATGTCTCTCGGCACCCAACATGTTGTGCCTTGTGGCGGGAGGGTATGAGTGTAAAGCAACAGACGGCCGATCTTCCATTTTTTTTTTGCGCTGGTCGCTGCTGCTTGTGTTTGACAAGACTGGTGTCAACGTCGTTTGTTTGTTTTGCATACAATGTTGAGAAGTATATCTTCCAACCGTGTGGCCGCCAGTAGCACGACGCCACCAGCAGCAGTAGCTCCACTCAACGATACGCGTCCTACGATACATGCGGAAGCTCCGACAAACTGATGAGTTACATAAAAGTGCGGATGAATCCCAACCGCGATCTTTGAGCGGTGTCGTGTACTTGCATCTTTTAGCCACGGTTTGATCTTGGCTCCAAAATCTCATCCTGCCCACCTTGCTGTTCTTTTTGCTCTTGGTGGTGCTGCTGGGAGGTGACGCCCTCTCATGCATACAACTGGCTGCTATTCACGCCCAGATTCCCTCGTGATCCCTGCTGTTGCTGCCGTTTCGCATCGGCAGCAAGAGGCGTCTCTGGCCGCCGCTCCGGCATGCGCATGTCGGACACCGACTTCGCAGAATACAACAGCAAGGTCACCTTCATGTTCCCCGGGCAGGGAGCCCAGTACATGGGAATG